TTCCAAAGGGACAGAAGTTAAAGCGCCACCAGCACTCAGCTGCCAGTCTGACTCCCTCAGTTTCTGGTAGTTTCAGAACAGAGTCTTACCCGGGTTCCATGTTCCTGAAGCAAAGATCTTCCAAGGGTGTGGTTCCATGGGAGTGGCCCTGCCCTCTGACAGCGTGGACTCCTTGTGGCAGCTTGTGTGCTTGGCACCGTCCACGTGTGCTCTCTGCAGTGGGAGGGAGCCTGGGAGCGTGTGTGCCTGCAGTGTGGATAAACAACTCTCTGAGTCATGCAGGCCCGCCGTGCTTTGGGCTGTGCCCACTGTGGTTGCCATGACGGCAGGGACCGCATCACCACACAGTGCTCACAGTTCAGTTTGCTGGTGACTGAGCCTGGGCCCAGGATGGAGCCAGACAATACCTCCTCTCACCCGGGGTGTCTTGCCACGACAGAACTGCCTGCTGAAACGCCATCGTCACCAGATAAATGGAGCCCCTCGTCCAGGCGCAGTGCTTCTGAGATGGTAAACCCAGAGGTTCACGTGGGCTGCAGTGAACATCACCTCCAAGCCCCAGAAGTCTTTCCCAGCGTGATGACCCCTAGATGTGTCTTCTGTCGTCACCCTAATGTGGATATAATTTACAAACATGGAGATCGGCACTCGTGAAATACTTGCGCCATGGCTCCAGAACATGTCTGTGAAGTCACAGATACAAATTAACTTCAATATTCACTTAAGCATGACTTGATTGAACAGCACCCCCCCACACACACGCCCCAGGCACACGTGGTGACGCTTTGGGGCTTCCTGGTCTGATTCCGTCCTCTGCTGCACCGAAGCTGATGCTCACGAACTATGCCTCTCGTGTAAGCTGATGGGAACAAAGCAGTCACAAGTGTGGACCCACTACCCAGGAGGGAGGGGATGGGCGCTGGCCACACACAGCTAAGCTTGGGGCCCCGTTCTCACACGTGTGGTGGCAGCGACAGAGGCCCCACCACGCTTAACCTGGCTCCTCCCTACCTGCAGACCAGGTGACTGCCGAGGGTCCCGGGGTAGGAGCATCCGTCTGCTCATGCCACAGTCCCCTGTCCAGGGTTCATGTCTGGACACCCACGGCTACCTTTTGCGGGTGCCCTCGGTTGTCTGGTTGACCTGGGAAGGTGGAAGCCAGATGCCTGGCCTCTGTGAAAGCATCAGTACCTGGGAGCCCCAGAGGAGAGGGGACCACTGGAAGAAACGCGCACGCCTCCCCGGGTGTGGCCAGAGGCCGCATGAGTACCGTGTGCCTGCTGTTTGGGGCGTGCCGTGGAGCTGAGTGGTTGCTTGGGGCCTCTCTGGGGTGTGCTGGGCTGTGACCACGTGGTAGCCATGCAGTCTCTGGCGTGACTGACACTGTGCTGTCCTCTGGTCTCTGTTAGCCTGCGCACAGCAGCGGGCTTCAGCTGCCCTCTCATGACAAGCGACTTGAAAACAAGAACTGTTTTCCTCAGTCTGGGGCTGAAAGGAAACCCCTTCTGCAGATGTTAAATGAAACCTTGCAGGCTGTCAGAGGATGGAGCCCGAGTCCTGGGTCTTGCTGGTGGGGGACCTGGGTAGCTCAGTCTCTAAGTCTCCCAGTGATCTGCAAATGTGATGGAATAATTAACATGAAAGTGATCTGTAAAGGAGCGTCTTTAAAATGTGCTGTGTGAACATTCGCTATTCTAAGTATCGTATTTTTACACTCTGCAGACTGCAAGGCGAGGCTGCACTTGTAAGATCTCTGTTGGGACACGACCTTGTGCAGGCTCTGCTCTCAGACTCGCTGGGGAGGCAGGAGGTGGCCACAGGCAGCAAGAGAGCTCAGTGGTAAAAGACCAGGTGCCCAGGGAAAAGCAGAGTGAGATGGAAAAGGCCACCTGCTGAGCGGAGGCCCCACACGGAGCTGCTCCCCTGCAGGGTACAGCTGCCTTGGAGAGCTCCCTCCCCGCAGTATGGTGCCTTAGCCAAGGGGCCTTGTTTTGTAAGACCCAGCCAGGTTTGCTGCAGGTCCCAGCCATGGGCCAGATGGGAGGCAGAGGCGTGTGGACACACCTCCTGGAGAGACCCAGCCTCAGGGACGTCCAAACAAATGGAAAACTCGGACTGGGGCGTGTTGGCCTGACCCACCAGAAGTCCAGCGGTATGGTCAATGTGGGGTCAGCGGAGATCACACCCATATTCCTTAATGCACTGATTCCGCAGGGATTGTGTCAGAACTTGACCGCGCAGGACATGGGTGCAGTGCTCAGCAGTTGCCACGAGTTCTCCAGGGCCCTTGGGACAACACATGCACAGTCTACCCTCAAGCTCTGGGACCAGGGCAGAGCTGTTGGTGCCCAGCCTGAGCCCTGGTGTTTCTGTAAATCAGATACTGAACATACGTGCTGTTTGCCAGGCCTGAGAGGGGAAGGAGTGAGACACAGTGCATTCAGGAAAACCCCTAGGAGAGACAGCTCTGGGCACACTGACCACGGTGAGGCCTGCCTCTAAGGGACCCCTGAGGAGGTGGGTGCAAGGGGTTGGTCCCTGGAGACCAGGCAGAGCAGCAGTGTGGGCTGTGGGCAGCTCCTGCATTCTCAGGCAGGCAGGCACAGGCTGTGGGGGTGCAGGCAAGGCCTGGGGAGGGGTATAGAGGAAGCTGTGCGGGACTGAGTGGCAGATGACTGTGTCAGGGGTGGGTCCTTCAGTCAACTGGGAGGGGTGAGAGGGTTGAAAGAAGGTGGACGTGGGTGACCTGAGAGCTGAGACCCCCTTAGTACTTGGCCGTGTGACCTTGGGCACTGGGAGCCAGCTCACTCCCTCTGGGTGCCCTTTGGTGGCTGGGGAACCGAGGCGCAGGTGAAGGTGCTCACCGGGACACTGCCGAGGACCGCCTGCCTTGGTTCCGGGTTGCACATCCTTGCGAAGCCTCCTGGGTTCCTGGAACCCATGCGTGTGAATAAGTAAAGGAGGGGTAGCACATCGAGGGCCGCTGGGCTGCGGGGTGTGTGGGGCACGAGGAACCTGCATTCTGTTTTGCTGTTTCTTACTTAAACGTGATCAGGTTGGATCAGATTGCTAACTTTTAAGTTGAGGATGTTCTGCCTTCTCAGAATGGCTGAGGATCAAGTCAGCCAAATGCACGAGGGCCCCTGGCTGGTCATATGACTGCTTGCCGTTGGAAGTGGTAGACCCAATGACGCTGCGAAGGTAGCGTCTGTGGCCGCGAGCTGCGTGGCTTGGAGGCAGTCCTGCAGCCGTCCAGGGGGACTCGGAGTGAGAGCGAGGAGAGTGGACAGGAGGGATGTGGAGCAGCAGCCAAGGCTGAGACCTTGGGTGGCTCCAGGCTGGCCCAGGAGATAAGATGAGGGCAGGATGCCTCCCCGGCCTTGGATTCTGTCCCTCTGAGCCTCATTCTGACTTCCCCAGGTCCTCCCTGGGGTCTCAGCCCCCGTCCCCAGCCTGCCTGTATTCGTTGGAAGGGGTGGCTGTGCCAAGGGTGCCAGCTCCATCTGGCAGGGGGAGCAGATGAGGCACTGCAGATGTTGCTGTGCGTCAAGGTGGGAGGAGCTGTTGAGGTGCAGCCTGGACAGCTGGACGCCCCCACCCTGGGGCTGAGGTGGTTACCGACAGGTGCACCTTGCACATGTGGAGCAGCCTCTAGGGCAGTCAGAGAACACTGGGCTGCGGGGGCTGTGTGGGATGGACACTGGGCAGGTGACCCCTCCTCTCTGGCTTTAATCTTCCTCCTTGGGGCTAGCACTGTGGCATAGCAGGTAAAGCCACCACCCGCAGCACCAGCATCCCATATCGGCTCTGGTTCAAGTTCTGGCTGCTCCACTTCTGATCCAGCTTCCTGCTAATGGCCTGGGGAAAAAGCAGAAGATGGCCCAAGTGCTTGGGCCCCTGCACCCATGTGAGGGGCCTGAAAGAAGCCCCTGTTCCTGTCATTAGATTGACCCAGCTCCAGGCATTGCAGCCATTTGGGGAGTGAACCAGCGGAAGGATGATATCAGTCTCTCTCTCTCTCTCTCTCTCTCTCTCTCTCTCTCTCTCTCTCTAACTCTGACTTTCAAATAAATAAATCTTTTAAAAAATTCTTTCTTGGGGTCAGTGCTGTGGAGTAGTGGGTAAAGCTGCTGCCTACAGTGCCGGCATCCCATATGGGCGCCAGTTCAACACCTGGTTGCTCCACTTCCAATCCAGCTCTCTGCTAATGCACCTGGGAAAGCAGTAGAAGATGGTCCAAGTGCATAGGCCCCTGCACCCACATGGGAGACCCAGAAGAACCTCCAGGCTCCTGGCTTTGTATTGGCCCAGCCCCTACAGTTGCGGCCACTGGGGAGTGAACCAGTGGACGGAAAATATCTTTTTTTTCTCTCCTTCCCTCCCTTCCTCCCTCCCTCCCTCCCTATCTTCTCTCCCTATCTCCCTCCCTCGCTCCCTATCTTCTCTCCCTTCCTCCCTCCCTCCCTCCCTCTCTCTCTCTCTCCCTCTCTCCCTCTCTCTAACTCTACCTTTCAAAATTTAAAAAAAAAAAAGAGTTTCTTCTCTTTGACTGAGTGGTCTGGCCGTGGACTCTGCCTTCTTCCTGGGCCTTGTCTTGTCTTGCTGTCTCCTGTCCATGGGGTTACTTGCTTCTGTAAGCCCCATTTCTGCTCCTGGGAAGTAGGAGTTTTACCAGCACTTCCTTCACAGGATGGCCCTGAGGAGGGGTGAGTGTGAGTGTGAAGCCTTGGCCCCACACCAGCACAAGCTGTGCAGGGGTCAGGTCGTTTCCCCACACGAGCCGGGTAGCTGAGCCCTCCGGGCGATGAGACGGAATGGGGCATCTGAAAACCTAATTTGCCACAACGCAGATGTCTTTCAAAATAGGGCAAGCAGGGGTATCGGCCTATGTGGAAGGCGGCTGATCTGGGAGGGCTTCCTGCATGAGGCTGCGTCAACACGGGGCATGGCAGGGGCCTGGCTGTGTCCAAACCCTGCGAATCTTCCCTTTCCTTCTGCAGGGAGTTTGCCAAAGAGAGAGAGCGAGTGGAGAACCGCAGAGCCTTCATGAAGCTGCGGCGTCAGCAGCAGATCGAGCGCGAGCTGAACGGCTACCGGGCCTGGATAGACAAAGCAGGTGAGGCTGGCGGTGCCCGGATGCTTCCCCACGGACAGCCTGGCCGGAACAGAGGAGCCCTGGGTCCCCTCTGGGCCTGTCACTGCACCAGGCGCCTCCCCCGAGGCAGGCAGGTCTGACCAGTCAAGTGACCCAGTCCTAGGCACGTGGGCTTGGAGATGCAAAGTGGGTGAGGCCGGCGGGCGGCCTGAGTGAAGCTGGACAGGTGACAGTGCCCTCCCAGTAGTCCACAGCGGCAAGCATCACTCTGCTGCTGGGCGCGGGCCCCGTCCTGGGCTCTTGGCAGTGATGTGCCCACAGAGCCCCCTCCCCAGCCTCGTGCGAGGCAGCAGTGACCAGAGCAGTGAACGGGGAGCTCGCAGGAAGGTGGTAGGTGCAGGGAAGCAATGGGGTTGCTCACGCTGTGGTGTCAGAGGGGGGTCAGGGAGGCCCATTGGTGTGGACACCTAAGAGGAGAGCGTGGGCCCTGGCAAAGTCCCTGTGAGGCGTGGCCTGCGTTACTCCAGGAGGGCAGGGAGGGGCACACGGGCACAAGAGGACATGAGGTGGGAGGGCAGCCAGCGCAGGGGAGAGGCTGCTGGGCCGTGCGACGAGCCTAGGACTTCACTGAGGGCCGAGAGCACGCGGCTCTGACTTAAGGTTTAAAGGGTCCTTGGCTGCGGCCTTGAAAGTAGGTGGTGAGAGGACGAGGTGAGTGGCGAGGCCGCTGCAGCCCCCAGGAAGAGCTGATGGTGAAAACTTCCCGCTCCCAGGCTGCCATGGGGCTCAGCTGTGCTCACTCCAGGACTTGTCTCGCCGGCTGTGAGTGCCCACCTCGCTGAGACGTGGGGGTCAGCCCTGACTGCAGCACCCGGCCCGTGAGTGCAGTGACCCTGTGTGTGCCAGGGGAGAGATGCTCCCAGACGGCTTCCTCTGGGGCTGCCGTGGTCTTTCTAACGCAGAGTGCCGCGTGTGCCAGCCCCTTCCACGTTCCCCGCGTACAGCACAGGGCAGACCTGAGGGCACACAGGGAAACGGGTGGGGCTGGGCGCTCAGCCACCAGAGCCCTGTCCTGCACCACTGCTCATGCCGTGAGTGGAAGCCACACAGACACCTATTTGGGATGGCCTCTTCCTTCTGCGAGGTTGGTGCAGGGGTGAGGTGAGTGTGAACCCCTCCACCTCACGGGAGGAGCAGCTCTGCCTCAGGCCAGGCAAGCAGCTGGCGCTCCCAGCTACCCCCGGCTCCCTGGGCAGAGGAGCCATCTGACAGGCCATGGAGGGAGCTGGCAGCAGGGCGAGGACCCTGGACCCCATGCAGGGTCACAGCCTGCGAGGTTCTGCTTTTGTGAAATCGTGAGGGTTCCTTTCTTGCACTTGGCACGGCCCGTTCCCAGGTCCTTCTAAGAAAAAAGACGCATTGCAGCCTGCCGTCTTCCGAGCCCTTCCTTCCACGGGTGGGGTGTGAGTGAGTCAGAGACACATGGGTTTCACTTCCTGGAAAGACTCGAGTGCAAACGCGAACTTGGCAAGGGACGCCGGGGAGGGGTGGCTTTAGCCCACGCAGGGGCCGTGAGCGCTGCCCAGAGATCCTCAGCTGCACCCACCACCTGCCAGGGCCTCTGCTCTGCCATCTGGAGCTCACACACTGCCCAGCAAGGGGGACCCCTGGCTGAGGTCAGTGAGGGGTTTTACCAAGCACCTGCTTGTAAACGGACGTCCTCCAAAGCAATAGTGCTGTACTGTGACTTAAAAACATTCACTGGAACATTTGCCGGCTACCTCAGCATTTAGCCGGAGAATGTGCTTAACCCAGAAAGCTGAAACTGTGGCGTGGGGCAGCAGCCCTCAGGGTGCCCCTACCTCCTGGCTTGCTGTGCAGGTGGAATCCTGCTGAGGGCTTGGTCCTCTCCTCCTGCCTCTCCTCTTCTCAGGGCTTAAATCGAGACATCGTTCAGTGAATCTGCTACAGGCTGACCCCACAATGGGCTCTTAAGGGACAGCTGGGAGCCCTCCAGCTCCCTGACTGGGGACTGCACCCTCCCAGGCGGGCACTCGGGAGCCCCAGCCTGGGCTTGGAGGCTGTGGTGTGAGGGCCTGGGAAGGCAGCCACTGAGGTGTGTCCTAACACATCTAGGTGAGGCCACTGTGGGGTCCACAGCTACTGCGGGAGGCCAGGAGCAGGGAGCCCTGGGGCTGGTGAGCCAGTTCAACTCAGACCCCAAACCCCTTGGGACAGCAGTCCCACGAGACAGCCTCTGCTTCAGACCCAGCTGGCGTGGGCTTCCTGGGAGGCCCGCGTTTCTGCCTGGCCAGCGCCAAACTCAGGGGTTCCTGGAGTCCCCACCTCCACCGCCAAGGTTGCATGCTTTGCTAGGATGACTCGCAGCTCTCGGGAAGAGCTTCCCTCACAGTGACGGGTTTGTGAAAGAGGATTCAACTCGGGCAGGACTAGGGGAGAGGCAGAGCTGCCCTGGAGCCCCTCCTGGTTCCTGGTGTTCACCAACCCAGGCCAGCCCTGCTCAGAGCTCTCAGGGCCACCTCCCTCAGGAGTCGCCTCCTGGGCCAGAACCGCAGTCGGGCTTTCTGTCCTACCACAGGGACAAGGCCTGGGGCGCAGGCTTCTGGCACGCGGGCTCTGTCCAGCCATGGCAGAGGTGGACACAGGACGGCTCCCCTCCGAGGACTCTCAGGCATCCCCCTGCCCCTCTCAAGGTGCAGTCTGGTTGCCTTCTAAATAGGGGCAGGACCCAGGGGCCCAGGCAAGAGAAACAGCAGATGTCCTTGCCCCCCCCCCCCCCGCCAGGTCAGGAAAGACAGGATGGGGACTCCACCGGAAAGTTCTCCTGTCCTCAGGGAGGATGTCAGCCCTGGGGACCTCCTGTGCCCTGCTCCTTCCTGCCTCCCGCGGGCCTGCCACAGCCTGGGAGCCCTCCACTCTGCCTTGGCGCCAGAGCTGCCCTGGGGGATTCTTCACTTTGCAGAATCATTTGGTATTTACAGGCAATTAACTGAAGCATTCGTTTTCATCTAGAGGAAGTCATGCTTGCTGAGGAAAACAAAAACTCGGGGACGTCAGCCTTGGAAGGTGAGGAAGTGCCCCCCGCCCCGCTCATCTCCACACACAGAGAGAGAAGCGTTGGGCGCCCTGGGATCTAAGACGCAAGTCTCTCTGGGATGGAAGCCCTGTACTTCAAAGGGGTTCAGAGTTAATGCCTCATGGAGTGAGGACGAGGGACCCTGCAGCACATGGGGAGGGGGGACCGACCGTCTGGGGCTGGTGGAGGCCCACAGAGCCGTGTGGCCTGGCCCTGCCGCGGTGGCCACAGGTGGGGCTCAAAATTCAGTCAGTCAGTAGCAAGCCAACTTCTAAGCTGATAGTGCTGTGTGGCCCACAGATGATGTTATAAATATCTAAATGGCCATTGGTAGAAAAAAGACTTCCACTCCTGCTTAAGGTGTGGGCATTGTCTTGTGAAAAGCCAGGCCAGACAGTTGCAGAGCCTCCTCTCGGGAGGACCCCAGCCTGTGGCTCAGCAGGTGCTAGACGGCTGTGCACTCATGGTTCTGCAGACGTAATCGATGTCCAGCACCCAGCTCCAGTGTGGGCTATCATGGGGCCTTGCGTGAGCCTCTTGCCCAAGTGTGCACCGTGCTGTGCAGAGCAATCTGTGGGCTGTGGAGCCACGTGGGATTCATGGGGAGACCCGCACAGGTGCATGGGGAGATCTGCCCAGGCTGTGTCTCACCAGGCCTCCCTCCCTGGCCCAGTGCTCCGCAGGGCAACCATCAAGCGGAGCCGCACGGAGGCCATGACCCGTGACTCCAGTGACGAGCACTGTGTCGACATTTCTTCTGTGGGTGAGTGGGTCCAGGGGGATCCCCTTTTATTTCACTGCCTGAACCTTCCAGGAGAGGAAGATTCTTCCCAGGATAGAAGCCCCACAGGAGGAAAAGACTCCAAAGAGTCCAGAGCTTAAGGATAAAACTGGGGAGTGGTGTGGGAATCTCATCCATGTGGGTGCATGCGCCAGGGATTGCTGCCGACCCCTACAGGGGCCCAGGGCTGAGAACTGGTGCCCTCCCCTACAGGGGCCCGGGGCTGAGAACGGGTGCCCTCCCCTACAGGGGCCCGGGGCTGAGAACTGGTACCCTCCCCTACAGGGGCCCGGGGCTGAGAACTGGTACCCTCCCCTACAGGGGCCCGGGGCTGAGAACTGGTACCCTCCCCTACAGGGGTCCGGGGCTGAGAACTGGTGCCCACCCCTACAGGGGCCCGGGGCTGAGAACTGGTGCCCACCCCTACAGGGGCCCGGGGCTGAGAACTGGTGCCCACCCCTACGGGGGCCCGGGGCTGAGAACTGGTGCCCACCCCTACGGGGGCCCGGGGCTGAGAACTGGTGCCCACCCCTACGGGGGCCCGGGGCTGAGAACTGGTGCCCTCCCCTACAGGGGCCTGGGGCTGAGAACGGGTACTCTCCCCTACAGGGACCCAGGGCTGAGAACTGGTGCCCACCCCTACAGGGACCCAGGGCTGAGAACTGGTGCCCACCCCTACAGGGGTCCGGGGCTGAGAACTGGTGCCATCCCCTTCAGGGGTGCAGGGCTGAGAACTGGCCAGGTTTCTGGACCTGACGCTTGCTGCACTGGCAGAGGTGGCCTCCCCTTCCCAGAGTGACCACAAGAACCCCTTTGGACTATCGTTCAGAGGTACTGAGTTCTGTCGCTGAGTGTCCCACTGTGCGACATGCAGTAATCACGGAGCCACAGTAGCCCCGCCTGCTTCTGTCATGTGAGATTTAAGCTCATCCCCTTGGTGGCCCTTTAATGTGATGCTGTCCAATCCCCGGTTCTCCTGGGGACTCTGGCTGATGGCAGAGGGCAAGCGCGGGGTCCCGCTCCATCCTGAGAGCAGAAGAGTCTCACAGAGCTCATTGCTGCTCTGGGCTGCTAGTGGTCAAGGTGTCAAAGCTGTGGCAGAAGCCAGGGCCTGGGGCTCATTGCAGGAAGGGGGGAAGGACCCCTTCTGCTGCTGGTGGACACACCCTGTGGGCTCTGGTCCTGGGTGTTTGCCTGGTGACCTGTCTGGGTTTCAGTCTCCTAGGACCAACAGTGTGCAGACAGGAAACCAGGGAGACTGCCTGGCACAGAGCCCAGGGTCCCAGTCCACCTTGCCCGAGTGCCCTGGGAGGGTAGGGGAATCCCGGGCTTTGCAGCCCTTCTTCCTCCTCTTCTCCCTCTCAGGCACTCCTCTCGCCCGAGCCAGCATCAAGAGCGCCAAGGTGGACGGGGCCTCCTATTTCCGGCACAAGGAACGGCTCCTGCGCATCTCCGTGCGCCATGCAGTCAAGTCCCAGGTGTTTTACTGGATTGTACTGAGCCTCGTGGCTCTCAACACAGCCTGCGTGGCCATCGTCCACCACAACCAGCCCCAGTGGCTCACCCACCTCCTCTGTAAGTGAATGGCATGTGACTGGTGTGAGTGGGGGGAGCTCACCCGAGTTATCTGCGTAGCTGCTCCCAGCTGTCACTGTGGAGTCAGGTGCACAGGCCGCTGCTGGTGCATTTGGGTCCTGTCTGGTCTTTACCTCATTTCTCTTTTTGCAAAGATTTATATATTGATTTGAAAGGCAGAGAGAGAGATCTTCTGTCTGCTGGTTGTTCACTACCTAAATGGCCGCAACAGTTGGGGCTGGGCCAGGCTGGAGCCAGGAGCCAGGAGCTTCTTCCAGGTCTCCCACATGGGTGCAGGGGCCCAGGGACTTGGGGCATCTTCTGCTGCTTTCTCAGGCCATAAGCAGGGAGTTGGATGGGCAGTGTAGAGCTGGAACGCTGACCAGCACCCATGTTGGATGACGGCACTGCAGGGTATGGCTGCAGAGCGTTGGCCCTGAACTCATGTCTTACGGAGGTCAACAGTATGTGGAGTTTTAGTCACCGAGGTCCTGGGGAGAAAGTTCTTAGGGCAGTGAGTATCTCAGAGACCAGAAGGAACGTGTAGGTCAGCCACGGCCACTAGACCTGGTGTGGGCCAGGAGACTGTCTTTCCCTGTGCTGGGGTGAGTGGTCAGCTCTTCCCCAGAAGGCTCAGGGAAGTCCTTTCCTATGCTTCTGGGGGCCACTTGCCATCTCCCTGTGGAAGGAAGTTAAAGCTGATCTGTCCAGAATACTGGAATTTACCCTGGGCCAGAGGGTGTGGTGTCCCGGACATGGTTAGGCTGGCCTGATACTGACCAGACATGGAGTGGAGCTCCCTCTGTGGACCAAATGCTTCTCCCTGTGACCCTGCAGACTACGCAGAGTTCCTGTTCCTGGGCCTGTTCCTCCTGGAGATGTCCCTGAAGATGTACGGCATGGGCCCACGCCTCTACTTCCACTCCTCCTTCAATTGCTTCGACTTCGGGGTAAGTCCCTAGAAACCTGCTCCTGGCTCGACATGGAGCAGAGGGAGAGGTGAGACGAGCTGATGGGTGCTTGGAAGGGAGCAAACGCTCGCCACGACCACAGCCGTTGTTGGTGCTGTTGGGAAAGGGCAGCCTGTGTGCCCGACGCTCCTATAAAGCCACCCTAGTGAGTGGCGAGCCGCACACCGTCCCAGGGACACACGTTGACTCTGGAGGTGCTTCCATACGAGAGGTTTGCTTGTGCTTTTGCTCCTGATAACATTGGAAGAAGGACCTGGACACGCCTTGTGTCCAGGACCCCGTCCAGCAGTTCACGCCCTGTGTTGCTGCTGTCTGCTCTCTGCCTTCAAGAATCCCCCGTATCTGTGTCTCAGGGCCTGGCTCAGACACTCACATGCTCAGCTGGTGGCAGAGCTGGACCACAGAGCTTGGGGTTCCCTGCCCACATCTTCTGCCAAAACTCCGGTTCTGTGCTAAAGATTTGAGCTTCCCACCACCTCCTCACCTGCAGCCTGTGGCCCTGAGCATAGGATGGGCTTTCTCCTAGCACACTCGGTAGACAGCAAGGAAGCTGACAAGTGGATTAGAAACTGCTTCTTCCTACAGCAGTGAACTCAAACCATCAAACTGACCCATTGAGCAGCGGCACCTCCTTGATAGGCAATGTCACGGAACCGGAACATCCCTGCACCCTGAATGCTGGTGCGATGGGGGTTGTGGGTCCTGTCTGGGGTCTCAGTGTTAGCACACAGACTGGGCTCCTTCCCACCCCCCCACTCCCCGTTGCTTGGATGCCTGTGGGTGCACAGCAGACCTGTGCAGAGGCCACGCTGGTGCCACACTTCTGACCAGTTCCCACTTCAGAGCGTGGGTGAGGAGAAGGGGAGCAGGGCATAGGGGGGCCCTGGCAGGGCCTGGAGTTTCCCTGGCTGGAGAAAGCGCTGGCTGATTCCACCCTGCTGACTGTGCGGAAGGCCAGGCTCTCCTGGCTCCTCACCACCAGAGGCCTTGTCTCCTAGGTTACAGTGGGCAGCATCTTCGAAGTGGTCTGGGCGATCTTCAGGCCTGGCACATCTTTTGGAATCAGCGTCTTGAGAGCCCTGCGGCTTCTGAGAATATTTAAAATAACCAAGTAAGTGATGCAGCTTGAGATCGGAGCGCTCCCAGCCTCACTATATTCCTGCCCCCCCCACACACATATCCCGCACCCTTTATCAAGCCAGAAAACAACTGCGCTGGCAGGTGCCACCCAGACCCCAAGGGGAGCCAAGAGTGCGGCCCCCGCTTCCATAGCTGTTGCCAGACAGAGGCTGAGCTGCACTAGGGGTGTTTGGTGTCCAGTGTCCATGGCTGTCACGTGGTCTGGGTCCCACAGGTACTGGGCCTCCCTGCGGAATCTGGTCGTCTCCCTGATGAGCTCCATGAAGTCCATCATCAGCCTGCTCTTCCTCCTCTTCCTCTTCATCGTGGTCTTTGCTCTCCTTGGCATGCAGCTGTTTGGAGGCAGGTGAGTACCAGCACCCGCTAACCCAGGAGAGGCTCAGCACCTGTTCCCCTGATGGCCGTGTGGCCATCTGCTCTGCACTGACGACCCAGTGCTTGTGTGGAGCGAGCGTCTCTGCTCTGACCCCTCCCACTCTGTGCCACACGCCTGCCCCTGGGACCTAGCTCTGCAGCCATCCCTGAGGTACGTGGTGTGGAGCCCTGAACCCTGCCATCAGCCAGCCCCTGTCGAGGCCTGCCCTCCAGTTCATAGGTCATCAGCAGTCATTGACACAGCTGTCGACGTCACGTGGAGTGGAGAAACTGTAGGGAAGAAGCGATGGGAGGGAGGAAGAAGTGTGGAGAGCGGTGTTCTTAGAAGGGAACTCATTTCCCCTGAAATTCATGCGCCCCTCTCTCTGAATCTCCAGGTTTAACTTCAATGATGGGACGCCCTCGGCCAATTTCGACACCTTCCCTGCCGCCATCATGACAGTGTTCCAGGTACAAGGACGCCTTCCTCTCCAGGCTTCTCCCAGGCCATGGTCCTTGTCCTTGCTAGTGGGTAATGCCACAGACCCAGGGTCCTGTGGCTGAGGGCCTCAACCTGCACCCGGGGTCCTGTGGCTGGGGGCCTGCTTGTCCTCCTACGCCCGGGGTCCTGTGGCTGGGGCTTCCTTGTCCTCCTACGCCCGGGGTCCTGTGGCTGGGGGCCTCGACCTGCACTTGGAGTCCTGTGACTGGGGCCTCCTTGTCCTCCTGCACCCGGGGTCCTGTGGCTGGGGCTTCCTTGTCCCCCCTACGCCCAAGGTCCTGTGGCTGGGGCCTCCTTGTCCTCCTGAGCCCGGGGTCCTGTGGCTGGGGCCTCCTTGTCCTCCTACGCCCGGGGTCCTGTGGCTGGGGCCTCCTTGTCCTCCTGCACCCGGGGTCCTGTGGCTGGGGCCTCCTTGTCCTCCTACACCTGGGGTCCTGTGGCTGGGGGCCTCGACCTGCACCCAGGGCCCTGTGGCTGGGGCCTCCTGCACCTGTGAGTCTGCCGCACTGATCCAGGATCCTGTGGCAGCTTCTGGACTCTGCGGCTCCTTCTGACTCATGAGTCCTTGAATCAGGTGTGTAGGAAGCCGGACTTTTTAGTCACCAGGGAAACAAAATCTGTAGTATCTCAGAAACAGAGAGGAACACAAGGAGCCGGAATCGGGGTGGAGCCAGGAGCCCCAGGGCTCTTCCCTTGGGTGCTGCCCTAGGACTCTCAGTGTTGCTCTCGGCACCGTCAGATGGGGCCAGGCCGCCTGGTCTGTGTGTTTCCCACAGAGCCCAGCAAAGCTGCAGCTGGGAGGGACTCTGTGGGCTGGAGAGTGGGACTTCCCTTCTGAAAGTATTTCATTTTGTATGTGTCCATTCATTCATCCACTCACTCACTCAGTCACTTGGAGGGAGCACTTACACAGGGAGGTTGAGATGACAGAGAGAGCGCTGCCATCCATCGGGTCACCCCCCAAGTGCCCACAAGGGCCAGGCCTGGGCCAGGCCGAAGCCAGGAGCCTTGAATTCAATCCAGACGTCCTACGTGGGTGGTAGGGACCCGAGTCCCTACGCCAGGGTGCACATGCACAGGAAGCTGGAGTGAGAATGCAGCCAGTGCTGAACCCAGGCACTCCTGTGTGGACTGCGGTACCCCTCACGGCGTCCAAACCCCTTGCTGCACCAAGTGCCCGCCCCAGAACCTTGATTTTGGGTGGTCTCCTCCTGTTTCCAAAGCCCGAAATCCTCCTCCGCATCAGGGGAGGTTCAGGATTCTACATGGGATGGCTTTTCCGCTGCCTGGCAGGACACCCACGCAGGGGTCAGATGGGAAAGACCCAGACCCAAATGTGCTGTGGCCCAGCCTGTCTCTGGGCTCTGACCTTGCTGTTGTCTGCAGATCCTAACCGGTGAGGACTGGAATGAGGTCATGTACAACGGGATCCGCTCCCAGGGCGGGGTCAGCTCGGGCATGTGGTCAGCTGTCTACTTCATTGTGCTCACCTTGTTTGGAAACTGTATCCTTTGCGAGGTGCCCCTGCTTAGCCTGTTGCCTTCCTGGGCCCGCTTTAGAGGGGGCACTTGAGTGGGCAGAGACTTGGGGCTCTCATCCTATGAAACCTGTGCACCAACGGAGGCGAGCATACACATCTGCGGTGTGCAGGGCTGAGGACCCTGGGACTGTTAGAGTGAGCTGGGACGAGGGACAGCAGTGGTCATGGGCTCACATGGGATAGAGGCTGCCACACAGTAAGGACTCCGACAGCTCAGCGTTGGGCAGAGCTACCGTGGCCGGGGCCTGCTGCATGGGTGCCATGCCTACGTCCTTGCACCCCCTGCACAGCAAGCACTGTCTCGTGTAATCCCCACCTTGTGAGACAGGGATGGAGCACGCTGGTGAAGCCACGCAGCTGCTCACTTGTGAAGGGAGGCTGGGGATCGTGTCTAACCCCAGATGCTGGCAGGCCAGAGGGTCGGCACCAGGAAGGTTTTGGTTGGAGTTCCAGCAACTCTACCCTCTGTGTGGCCTTGGGAGAGCTTCTGTTTTTCATGTGTGGGAGGAAGACAGTGGTGCCCACTCTGTTCCTGTGACCATGGAGTGGCATTGTTTATCTGAACCCCCCTTGTAGACCACGCTTCTAGACAGCTGTCAGGTAGCTGTGGGGTGTGGCCTTGTCTTGAAGTGGGATTAGCAGAACAAGAGGACCACGTGACGTGACCTGGGGTACTTCTGGGGTCTGAGCAGACTGTAAACTGGACACGAGAAACCCAGGAGCTCTTCCACAGGTCCAGAAAGAGCCCAGTGTGTCCCACAGTGCCCAGGACGTCTGCAGGAGCCAGCTCTGTGCTCCACAGCACACTGATCTGACACAGCTGGGAAGCCGGGAGCTCGGGGGTCAGAGCACAGAGGAGGTGGATGCGTGTAACATGATGTCTGCTTTGTGGCACTTTGTTAGTGGGATGTGGTGCCCCCAGAGCCTAGCAGAGCAGTGAGCAGTACGTCACCTCTCACGACTGGGAGCGAATGCCAGTGATGGCCGTGGAACACCTGTTCCATGGAATAGTGTGATGCATTGGTGTAGAAGGGGAGCCCCCACCTGTGTCTTGCTGTCCAGGGTCTCGAGGCTAGAGCTGGTTGAAGACCTGCTCGCCACCTCTAGCCGCCACTGGTTTGTCCTGCAAAGACAGGGTGTGGTGTTGGAAGGGGAGAAGACAGGAGGTGCGAGGAGCCCTTACCTCCTGTAATCCTTGTGGGAGCGAGAGTGACTGCAGGCTATCTCTGCTCTTGCTGGTGGCCCAGGCAGGGGAGCTGTGCAGGTGCCCCTTAGCCCACGAAGATCCTCACTCTGCCTGCCTGGCCTTAACTCTGCCGCAGACACACTGTTGAATGTGTTCTTGGCCATCGCCGTGGACAATCTGGCCAATGCCCAGGAGCTGACCAAGGTAAGCCTGCGCTCTGGGGGTCTGGTTCTCTGTGGCATCTACTCAGGACTCCAGGAAGGTTCCTTCTGGGAGGTTCTGGGAGCTGGAAAGCCACACTTCCATGTAGGAGGCCTAGTTAGCTCCCTTTACTGAGTTTGGTGAGCATCACCCCCGCCCGTGTCTCTCATGGGTGACTGGAGGCTGCCGGGTCCTTGCTGAGCTGTATGTTGGAGAGGAGGTTTTAAGCATCTCTGCTACTGTGGCCTGTGGTTTTGCCGCTTTGGTCGTGTGGCTGAGCTGCTACAGCGTGGGTGTGAGCAGGGCCGGGGCGTTTAGTGGCCACGGTCACCCTGGGAGGTGTCCACCAAGCCGGCCGCTTCTCAGGGAGCCCCTCCCCCCTTCCCTGGATTCCTCTCCCTGGGGAGAAGCTTTGCTCATGGAAGAAGAGCCGGGAGATGTATAGAGCATGGGGTGCCCACGGGGTGCAGGTGGTGTGGGCTGCCCGAGGGGCTGCTCTCCTTATTGGAATGGTCTGGTAGGGAGCATTCCTGCCTGGCCCCTGGGTCTGGTTTGCTGCCTGCTGCAGCGTGGACCAGGCCCTGCCTCGTTGGCATGTGGATGCCTGGGGTCCTCACAGGAACTGGGAGCGTGGGGTGGAGCAACGTGGGGGCAGCAGCGTGTGGGAAGCTGTGTGTGCTTCTGAGTTCCCTGCACCTGCAGCTCCCTTGGCCGAGGCGAAGCCGACCTCGCTCCTGAGCTCCTTGCCCCGGAGTCCTGGCTGTGCTGGGCTGGGGACGGCTGGACCTCAGGTGTCCCCGAGCCAGCCTGACCTTGTCCTGTGCTCCCCACACCTGGTCTCCAGAGCTCCTCTGGAGGCTCCCTGGCAAAGGTGCCTCTGCTTTCTGTCTAGGATGAGCAGGAGGAAGAGGAGGCCTTCAACCAGAAGCATGCCCTGCAGAAGGCCAAGGAGGTCAGCCCAATGTCTGCACCCAACGTGCCCTCCATCGAGTGAGTCGGGGACCCCTTCTCTGCGCCCTGGGCGCGCTGCCCACAGAGCTCGATTGCAGGAAGTCAGCCCCTGAGGCCAGAGCTGCCAAACAGGGTCCACCCCTGCAGCCTTCACTTTATGGCAGGGAGGAAGAGATGACAGCGACGAGTCCAGATGACGGAAGGGCTGTGCAGCCCGTGGGACAGGGCCCCCAGGCTGTGAGAATGAGGGAAGACCTCAGGAAAACCCACGGGGTTCCCTGCAGAAGCCATGGCCACACAGAAGGCAGTGGTCTTGGGCCACTTCGAAGGAAGTGGGTCCCAGCCAGGTCCAGTGTGTCTGACCGGCAATGGTGAGGACCACAGAGAAGACTGGTATAGGTGGTGGAGCCACAGGTGGAGGCACTGGCTCTCACAGGGCAGGGGAAGGGGGACAAGCCCACCTGAGATAGGGACCCTGGGCTGTGGACTCTGGGGGCAGAGGGTGGCTCTTGGTGGGAGCTGTGAGTTAGATGAGCAAGAGCCACCTCAACCTATGGTATTTTGGAGGGAGAGCCACTGGGCCTTGCCAGTAGGTTAAATATGGCGGGGGTAAGGGTAGACGGAGAAGCAGAAACCAAGGTGTTGCTGCTTTGAGGACTGATGGCTGGGTTGGTACAGGTGGTGCTCCTGTACCCTGGGGACCAGCGAAACCACGTTAAGGCCTTTCTTAGGCATCTGATGCTGAGCAGCTCTGGGTTACTTGAGCCTGCAGCTTAGGAACCAGGACTGAAATAAAGATTGGGGGGCGTCATTTGTATTTAGATAGTGTTGCAGTGTCAGCATGGGTGAGATGGCCCTGGCCCAGGCGGAGTGGGACTGTTCTTCAAGGGCTGGCAGGAGGAGGACTGGACGCCTGATGTCCTGGAGCCTGCACAGGAAGCCAGTGGGGAGCCGGGCTGGGCAGGGTGCCCCTGCTCCTGAAAGCCCACCTGCAAGGAGGACAGAAAAGGGATCCTTGGGTTCAGCTAAAGGAAGCTGCTGGTGACCTTCAAAGAGCAAATTTCCTGGCCAGGTGGTCAGTGAGAGTGTGAGCAGGGAGTTCTGTGGCTGACCACGGAACTAGGGTGTTGGGCTGAACCCTGCAGGGGCCTGGCCTCTGCATGGGGGCATTGGAGAGGGGCTGCGAAGGACCCCAGACCCCCAGGATTCCCATTGCTTTAGGTGCTGCAGGTGAGAGGACCTGGGATATCTAAGGACATCTGAGACTGGGAACTGGACCCTCCCTGGTGCCATTTATCACCCGGTACCAAGGCTGGGGCTGGAGGAACTCTGCCTTGTCACCCTCCCAAAGGCAAGGTTCTGACCACAGCCACTGTGCCTCTCAGAAACCAAGGTCCCCAGGGGCTAATCCCCACATGCCCATCACTTCGACCTCCCTGTCCACAAAGTGAGGGCCAGGCTTCTGGGTTGCTCTTTCGTGAGGGAAAGATTCCCTGATCCATTGAGGACTGCAGGGAAATGTAAGCATGTGGTCCTCTCATACATGCTGTGTCTACCCCATCTGTCATGGTGTGGTCCTCTCATACATGCTGTGTCTACCCCATCTGTCATGGTGTGGTCCTCATACATGCTGTGTCTACCCCATCTGTCATGGTGTAGTCCTCTCATACATGCTGTGTCTACCCCATCTGTCATGGTGTGGTCCTCATACATGCTGTGTCTACCCCATCTGTCATGGTGTGGTCCTCATACATGCTGTGTCTACCCCATCTGTCATGGTGTAGTCCTCTCATACATGCTGTGTCTACCCCATCTGTCATGGTGTAGTCCTCTCCTACATGCTGTGTCTCTACCCCATCTGTCATGGTGTGGTCCTCTCATACATGCTGTGTCTACCCCATCTGTCATGGTGTGGTCCTCATACATGCTGTGTCTACCCCATCTGTCATGGTGTAGTCCTCTCATACATGCTGTGTCTACCCCATCTGTCATGGTGTAGTCCTCTCCTACATGCTGTGTCTCTACCCCATCTGTCATGGTGTAGTCCTCTCCTACATGCTGTGTCTACCCCGTCTGTCATGGTGTGGTCCTCATACATGCTGTGTCTCTACCCTGTGTGTCATGGCGTGGTCCTCTCTATTGCATGCTATCTCTACCTCACCTGTCATGATCTGGTTCTCCACAGCCACACACATATCCAGACATATGGATAGGAGACACTGTGGCCCCTGATAAGTCAGCCGTTTTCTTCCATGGTTGTACTGAGGTGCTCTGGGTATGTGTGTCCCTGAGCAAAATGCACTGACCTACCCAGGTGGTGGGACCGTGCAGAGAGCATGTCAGGGCAGTGACAGGGAGCAGGCTCTGTGCACACCCTGGGCAGCCCTTAGCCAGGGCTCATTTGTGCACATGGAATGTGAGGGTGTTGCGACGTGAGCGGCTCTGGGCTGTACCTATGAGGCTGCTGGTTCTGGGCCTGCACATGGCTGCTGTGGGACATAGGGGTGCTCAGCAGCATCGTTGTGTGATCCTGAAGCGAAGCACTCGGCATCCCAGAGTGTGTCTCTCTGTCTCTGACGTGGGAAAACCACTGCCTGCCCGCCTGCCTCATCCTGCTGTAGGCCATGTGCGTGATGGCAGCGTCCTGGTCACAGTCGGAGGCGTGGAGTTTTAGGTGTGGGTGTAAGTTTGCATCTTGGCATGTGTGTCGAGAGTCAAAGGAAAGGGTGTGTGTGTGTGTGTGAGTGTTGTGTGAGTGCATGAGAGTGTGTGTGAGAATGTGTGTGAGAGAGTGGGTGAGAGTGTGTATGAGTGAAAGTGTGTGAGAGAATGGGTGAGTGAGAGTGTGAGTGTATATGTGTGTGAGAATGTGACTGATAGAGTGTGAGTTGTGTGTGAGAATGAGAGTGTGTGAAAGTGTGTATGAGTGAATATGTGTATGTCAGTGTGTGTGAGTGTATGTGTGTGAGTGAAAATGTGTGAGTGTGTATGTGTGTGTATGTATGTGAGTAAATGTGTGTGAGTGTTGTGAGTGCGTGTGTATGAGTAAAAGTGTGTGTGAGTGTTGCGTGTGTAAATGTGTATGTGTGTGAGTTATATGAGTGTGTGTGTGAGAGTGCGTGTGTGAGAGTGTGTGTGTGAGTGTGCATGTGTGTGAGAGTGGGTGTAAGTGAAAGTGTGTGTATGTGTGTGAGAGTGAGCGGGTGAATCCTTCCTCTCACACTCAGCGCAGGTGCTTCCGAGGCTGTATCTGAATATTGGAGAATTGCAAACAGGCAGGCAGTGCCAGGCTTTTCCTACATGGAGCCGTGCTGCCTGTGAGGGCATCCGTGGCTGTCTCCACGCCCTACCTGTGCCTCCTGGCACTCTGCCCCTCCATGCCGCATGGCGTCCCAGGCTGCCAGTACTGAGGAGTGCTTGGTCAGGGTGCTCGTGGGCATCTCCAGGGATTTCTGTGTCAGTGTGTGCCCGCACTGCCACACACACACACTCTGCCTCTGCAGCACCACGGGGCAGCTCAGGCTGGCTGCCTCAGCCCCTCTACCCACCTGGTATCAGGCAGTTCTGCAGCTGTTTAAGAAGTAATGGTCCCGCCCCATGTGGATGGTGTGAGGTGGGCGTGGTCTTCATGGGTGGCCTCGGTGTTGCTGGAAGGAAGTAGCATCTCTGAGGTGCCCTCCTCCACGCCTTGACCCTGTGTGGACACACTTACCGTACCAGTGTCCTGTCTGCCGTCACAGGGCCACCCACACCTGCTCCTCTCTCCCCTGCTGGCCCTATACTGTGTGTTTGAAAGGATGCTGTGTGTGTGACAGATTGTTCTCTGTGCAAGTCTAAGAGAGCCACAGCTGTGCTCTGCCCAGCTGAGCACTCCAGGCTTGTGGCCAGGCCACTGTGTGCATAAGCACAGGGCATCGTCACATCCCAGAGGACTTGATGGCGGCCCCTCAGGCCAGGGCTCATCGCCTTGCCGCCTGCCCCGTGTTCCAGTACGTGGATACGTGGTGCTGCCTGGGGACCAGTGGGCGGGGCCCAGTTGCTCACAGTGGACGGATTTGCAAAGGGGCCTCTGTGGGGTGTTGGTGTCCCATGCCTGTTCAGCCTTGGCTGTGAGCCATGTGAGAGACGGGGTGGCCCCTGCCCCACGTGAATGTGTGGAAGACAGTGTCTGCGCGTGCACACAGTGAGGACCAGAGCCCCCCATGGGGAGGTCCGAGGCTGGGATCTGTGGGGTGAGCCAGAGCCAAGGATGTGCGGACACTTCGGCCTCCCTCCGGTCTGCTGGTGGCCGTGGGCGCACGGCTCCGAGTGTGGGGCACTGAACTGTGCTTTCTCTCCCCCAGAAGAGACAGGAGGAGAAGACACCACATGTCGATGTGGGAGCCGCGCAGCAGCCACCTGTATGTGTGCGCCGGTTTGCGTGTCTGTGAGTGGCTATGTGTGGGCGTGGGGACCGCGTGTCTCTGCCCTTGCTGTGGACCCGTGGCACCGGGCATGCATGTCAGCGTGTGCCTTAGTGTGTGCGTGTGCTCCGTGTACGTGATTGTGCACTTGTGTCAGTGTGTCCAAAGCACGTGGCCCTGTGCGTCTCTGCTCTTGTGTCTGGCTGTGAGTGGGCGTGTGTGTTGGTGGCCGGTGTTGGTTGGCGCACCTCCTCGTGGGCCGCTGTGCACAGGATGTGTGTGGTGTACGTGTGTCCCCTCACAGTAGCGTGTGCGTGTCCGCAGCACAGGTGAGGGAAGCCCTCCCATGTGTCATTTTGTCTTCCTGCTGCCACTGCCGTCTGCCTGCCCCTGAGCCCAGTGGCTGGCAGTCTCTGCACATGCAGCATGCTGTGTTAGGGTCAGCTCCTGTGGCAGAGGCCCATGGGCAGGCAATGCTGGGGCTCTCAAGTGACAGGTCCACCTGGCACTGTGGCCACCGTCTGGTGGTGTCTGGCCACTGTGCATCCTGCCCTGGCTACTCTGGGCCACCCTACCCTACCAGGAAAGGACAGGCCTTGGCCTTGAACCGAGGGCATTGGAGGGCACAGCAGGCCCGGCCGACGCCCTGAGAGCCAAGGGGCCTGAGGGGGAGGCTCCTGGAAGCCCCTGGGAGCTGGCCTCACAGGCCCCAGGGGTACCTGGCCCGCCCTCCGGCCCCTGCAGAGCAGCTCTGAGCAGGTGGCCTAGCCCAGCCACCTGCTCACACGTGGCCCTCTCGGCTCCCGTGTCTGTCTGTGCTTCCTGTCTGAGGGCACCAGGCCCCCACTGCCTCCTCGTGTCCTGCCGTCCCTTCCCCTCTGATGTCGGCCTCACCCTCTCCATCAGGAGGGAGCGCCGGCGCCGGCACCACATGTCAGTGTGGGAGCAGCGGACAAGCCAGCTACGGAGGCACATGCAGATGTCCAGCCAGGAAGCCCTCAACAAGGAGGAGGCCCCCCCGATGAACCCCCTCAACCCGCTCAACCCCCTGAGCCCCCTCAACCCGCTCAACGCCCACCCCAGCCTCTACAGGAGACCCAGGCCCATGGAGGGCCTGGCCCTGGGCCTGGAGAAGTGTGAGGAGGAGCATGTCAGCCGTGGCGGGTCCCTCAAGGGGGCCCTGGACTGCCAGAGGAGCCCCTTGTCGCTGGGCAGACGGGAGCCGCCATGGCTGGCCAGGCCCTGTCACGGAAACTGTGAGCCGGCGCTGCAGGAAACAGCTGGGGGAGAGACCGTGGTCACCTTCGAGGACCGGGCCAGGCACAGGCAGAGCCAGCGGCGCAGCCGGCATCGGCGAGTCCGGACGGAAGCCAAGGAATCCTCCTCGGCCTCCCGGAGCAGGTCTGTCAGCCAGGAGCGGAGCCTGGATGAGGGGGCGTCGACAGAGGGCGAGAGAGACCACGAAGCCCGGGGCAGCCATGGCGGCAAAGAACCAACAATCCACGAAGAAGAGAGAGCCCAGGACTTGCGCAGGTAAAGAAAGGCCAGCCTCGGTTTCCCCTTTGTAACTGCGAAGGCAGGAGTGACTGAGCCATGGGTCCGCCCCTGAGCAGGTGCAGGTGGGGCGGCCCAGGAGGGCAGGGTGCGTGCTCTGGCACCCGCCCAGCCCCTCACCTCCTCCCTTGCCACGCATCCTGTCTTCACAGGACAGACAGTCTGATGGTACCCAAAGGCTCAGGGCTGGCTGGAGGCCTGGATGAGGCCGGCACACCCCTCGTCCTGTCCTCACCCGAGGGTGTGGGGAAAGAGGCAGCACCCACAGAGCAGCATGCAGATGGCAGCGGTGAGCCGGCCCTGCTGGGGCACGTGCAGCTGGACGTGGGCCGGGCCATCAGCCAGAGTGAGCCCGACCTCTCCTGCGTCACGGCCACCACAGACAAGGTCACCACCGAGAGCACCGATGTCACCGTGGCCATCCCCGACGCGGAGCCCCTGGTGGATTCAACGGTTGTGCACAGTGAGCACCCACCCCGGAGGGCTGGAATGAAGCATTCAAGTGCAGTGTGGCCTGAGCCAGGCTGACCTGTCTCACACTGAGCCCAGGAGGTGACCATGAGCCCCCGTGGTCTGCCAGCCACCCTGCGGTGTGGTGCCCCATCACCCGTTCACCGTGGGTTCACGTACCAGTGTGCCGTGGCATCTCGGTGCTGGAGAGGAAGTCCCTGGCCGCCCCGGTTTGTTGCCGTGAAGCGTGGGGTTGGGCTGGACGCAGGGAGCTCATCTGCACGGCCCCTTCTCTCGTCACTGTTCCTTCTCCTGTGACTTTGCTCATACGGCTCCCCCACCACGGCTCATCCCCAGCTGGTGTCAGTCTAAACCCTGAAGGGGAACAGCAGCCGGGAAGAACTTGACCCAGAACCCACCCTCACTGACCCACACCCACCCCTGCTGTGACCATACCCACCCCATGCACTGACCCACACCCACCCCTGCTGTGACCCACACCCACCCCTGCACTGACCCACACCCACCCCTCACTGACCCACACCCACCCCTGCTGTGACCATACCCACCCCTGCACTGACCCACACCCACCCCTCACTGACCCACACCCACCCCTGCTGTGACCATACCCACCCCTGCACTGACCCACACCCACCCCTCACTGACCCACACCCAGCTCTCACTGACCCACACCCACCCTTGCTGTGACTATGCCCACACCTGCACTGACCCATACCCAGCCCTCACTGACCTCACACCCACACTTCACTGACCCACACACACACGCCTCGCTGACCTCACACCCACGCCTGCACTGACCCACACCCAGCCCTCACTGACCCATACCCAGCCCTCGCTGACCTCACACCCATGCCTGCACTGACCCATGCACACGCCTCGCTGACCTCACACCCATCCCTCACTGACCCATACCCAGCCCTCGCTGACCTCACACCCACCCCTCACTGACCCACACCCACCCCTCACTGACTTGGTGCCCCCTTGTTGTGCTGCATTACCCCACCCCAACTGCACGGTCACTGAGTGGCCCACATAGGACTCACTCACTGGTGTCTCTGTGTATCCTTGACACCCCCCCCCCACAGTCTTCCTTCCTGTTTCCCTTCATTCCCAGCTCTGCCATCTCCTCCCTGCGCGTTCCCCACACTCTGAGACCAGTCTGCTCTGGGCAGTGAGCTCTGAGCCCCACGCCTGCAGTGGTCGTCCTGGTCCAGACACTCACAGCCTGCACTAGTGTCTGTGGGCCTTAGGTCTAGCAGCCAGGTGCCCAGGACCCAGCTGTGTGGGGAACAGCAGTAAGAAAGCAGGCCCGGCCGTGGCCTTGGCTGCAGGCAGGAGCCTCCTCGAGAGGCCTTGGGACGCTGCGTGTGACTCAGCCTCAGGAGGTCCCAGTAGAGTCATCCCTGGAGCGGAAGCAAAGGGAGGAGGACCTCAGCCTCCTGCTGACCCCCACACACCATGACCGGACCCCCCGTCCCCTGTCCTCCCGGTCTGCGTGTGTATCACCCTCCCCCACGTCATGACCAGGCCCCTATCCCCTGTCCTCCAGGTCTGCGTGTGTATCACCCTCCCCCACGTCGTGACCGGGCCCCTATCCCCTGTCCTCCAGGTCTGTGTGTGTATCCCGTCTCCATTTCTGGGTGAGCCATGGCTGGGAAAAGCACAGTGTTTCTCAGACTCTGCCTCTGCAGTGAGGTCTCCCTCCAGGGACGGGGGGCTCAGAGTCGGGGTCACGCATGCTGGTCTCTGTAGGACTAGCGACCCCAGACCCTCAGCTTTCCCATCTGTGCAGTGGGATAACAACACAGGCGGCCCAGGGAACATCGAAGGGGAGTCAGGTAGAAGCCCTGCTTTGTGAAGCCCTCAAGCCTGTCCGTGCAGAGGCCCGGCGCTCTAGGGACCCTTGTCCTGGAGTGCGTGCTGGGGGCCTCGCCGCCAGAAAGGCTTGGGGACACAGCTGGGCCCACCCCTCTCCCCAACGGAAAAGGAGGGGCTCCCACAGGTTTCTGACCTGTCAAAATCTTCCTCTCCAGTCGGCAACAAGACGGATGGAGAAGCCAGTCCCTTCCAGGAGGCTGAGATGAAGGAGGCCGAGCAGGAGACAGAAAAGCAGAAGAAGAAGGAGAGGCCAGCAAGCGGCAAAGCCATGGTGCCCCACAGTTCCATGTTTATCTTCAGCACCAGCAACCCGTGAGACACCAGCCATGCGGGGCAGGGAGGGAGGGAGGGAGAGGCCACACGTGTCCCTGTGGACTGGCCAGACACGGAGCTGTCAGGGGCCACTAGGGGAGGTGGGTCTATGACAGAGTCTAGAGAGAGGCTGAAGACAGGGGCTGGGGGCAGGGCGGCAGGTGTCAGAGTGTGGACAGGGCTGGGCAGGACAGCAGGGGTCAGAGTATAGACAGGGCTGGGCAGGACAGCAGGCATTAGTGTAGACGGGGCTGGGCAGGATGGCAGGCATTAGTGTAGACAGGGCTGGGCAGGACAGCAGGCATTAGTGTAGACAGGGCTGGGAAGGACGGCAGGCATTAGTGTAGACAGGGCTGGGCAGGACAGCAGGCGTTAGTGTAGACAGGGCTGGGCAGGACAGCAGGCATCAGAGTGTAGACAGGGCTGGGCAGGACAGCAGGCATTAGTGTAGACAGGGCTGGGCAGGACAGCAGGCGTTAGAGTGTAGACAAGGCTGGGCAGGACGGCAGGCATTAGTGTAGACAGGGCTGGGCAGGACAGCAGGCGTTAGAGTCTAGAGGGGACTGGGACAGGACAGCAGGAGTCAGAGTGTAGACAGGGCTGGGCAGGACAGCAGGCATCAGAGTGTAGACAGGGCTGGGCAGGACAGCAGGCATTAGTGTAGACAGGGCTGGGGGCAGGACAGCAGGCATTAGTGTAGACAGGGCTGGGCAGGACAGCAGGCGTTAGTGTAGACAGGGCTGGGCAGGACAGCAGGGGTCAGAGTGTAGACAGGGCTGGGCAGGACGGCAGGCATTAGTGTAGACAGGGCTGGGCAGGACAGCAGGCATCAGAGTGTAGACAGGGCTGGGCAGGACGGCAGGCATTAGTGTAGACAGGGCTGGGCAGGACAGCAGGCATCAGAGTGTAGACAGGGCTGGGCAGGACAGCAGGCGTTAGAGTCTAGAGGGGACTGGGACAGGACAGCAGGGCATGTTGGGAGGAGGGGAACTTCCATGGACCCTCCTGTCTTGGGTGCCTTGGGGGCAGAGGAAATCTACCTCCTGGGTCACCAGGTGCTATAGAGGTGGACAGAGCTGTTGCAGAACCCCAAATGACCTGCCACTCACTGGGCTCCAAGAGTTCGGGCCCCACTGCCCTTACAGCAGAGGCAAGGGCGTGATGCGGGAGCACGGGAGGCTTTGCATGGGGAGCTTGGGAGGGGCAGCTGCCCCCTCCACCCAGACGCGTGGCTCGGTGCCAGGCGGGGGGAAAGGAAGGGATGGCTTCCCGTGCTGTGTGGGCAGGGCTCAGCAGGGCCGTAGGGAGCATGGGCCCAATTAAGGGGTGAGGCTCGACTGTGGAGCCTGGAATTGTTGGTTGAATGAGAGTGGCCCGGGCTCTTTGCTTATGGTCAGCTCTGCTTGTTTTTTCTTGGTTCCTTATGGTTTCCTTGGTGAGTCCCAGGTTTCATACCACGGGGGAGAGGGAACAGCCGATGGCCCTGTGGCCAGAGTCTGTTCAGCCAGCGCGGGCTAGGCCCCACGTCGCCTTGTGCTCACTGACCTAGCACGTGTCTGGCTGCAGTCTGGCCCACGGCTCCTGCTTCCCTCCCTCTGGGGCACTACACAAGGGCCAGAGAAGTTGTTCTGGCGGTTTCTCTGGTGCGGGCCTCCCTGTCTGGCCAGGAAAGTGGCTAGGCAGGGGCCAGGAGGGTTGGGGGAGGGAGGGAGGCGGCGCTCAGCGGGGCGAATCCCACAGGATCCGGAGGGCCTGCCACTACGTGGTGAACCTGCGCTACTTTGAGATGTGCATCCTGCTGGTGATCGCGGCCAGCAGCATCGCCCTGGCGGCTGAGGACCCGGTGCTGACCAACTCGGAGCGCAACAGAGTGGGTGCTCAGCTCGGGGGCGGGTCCCGATGGGGGAGAAGGGGCTTGCTGGGGGTTGAGGGTTAGGAGATCTCCTGCTCCTGTTCCTTAGGGCAGGATGTGGGCTATTCCCAAATAAGCCGCTAGCCCCACTCTGTGGTGCCTACTGCCGCCATGAGGGCCACATGTGGGAGCTGACACGCGGTCACAGGTGGTGTGTGCGTCAGATGGGAAGGAATGGGGGGCATTCCAGTCCTTGGCCAGAGTCGGGGGGCGAGATGTGAGGTGCTCCAAACCCGAATTCCAGCCAAGGACAGGGGCTGCCAGGTCCAGAGGCTCCTGCAGACTTGGGGGCCGGGGCGGGTGGGCAGACAGCAATCTCAGAGCCCTCCCACCATGTGTCCACAGGTCCTGCGTTATTTCGACTACGTGTTCACTGGCGTGTTCACCTTTGAGATGGTCATCAAGGTGAGAGGTGCCGCTCCGTGACCCTGGGCGCGGCTCGGGGGCGCCCCCTTGCTGCCACCTGCCAACCCTGCAGTGCCTGCCGCAGACCAGGGATGCACAGGACTGGGGCCTGCGCTCCCTTCCGCCCACCCTGGCACTCATGCATCCGTCTTGCCCAGCCTCACCCGTCAGGGGCGTTGTCCTGCGTGTTGAGGTGGGCTTCTATGATGGCTGTGAGAGGAGGCCCCTGGCCCCAGGCAGGAAGGGTGTGGGGCAGGTGTCGCCCACATCCCTGGGGTCACCATCCACACCTTCTCCTGCAGATGATAGACCAGGGCTTGATCCTGCAGGACGGGTCCTACTTCCGAGACCTGTGGAACATCCTGGACTTCGTGGTGGTGGTCGGTGCACTGGTGGCCTTCGCGCTGGCGTAAGTGGCTGCTTCCTGCTGGGCTGGCTTTCTCCCGGCCTCCTGGAGACTCCGCTGACTCGAGCCCTCCTCGGGGACCGGCCTGAGAATCGGGGTACTCGGTGGTGCCCAAAGAGCTGCCCTGGAGCTTTGCTTCTCAGTACCCTCTGCTCCCTGGAGCCACGTGTCCTGAGGTGCAGGCAGGGCAGGGGTGGGGAGGGGAGGCTGAGGCTCCGTCCTGGGAGAAGAAGGAGTGGGACCAGCTCAGTGAGGGGTGGGCCCGGGTGTGTCCAACGAGCGCCCAGCTTCCTTCGTTCCTCAGGTCTGTCGAGAGGATAGGGAGGGTATAGTGGAGTCGGGAATGCTGGAAGCCTGGGCTGTGCCAGGGACTGTCAGGGACAGTGCTGTGCTGGGCCGCCAGAGGGGAAGGCTCCCCCAGCCTTCAGTGACACCACTCGGGAGGAGATGGTCTTGGGCCATCATCCATGGCGCTAACCTGTATCTGTGACTTGTGGGGGTGTGACACATGGAGCCAGCCACGGAGGGCTCTCCCAGGCCTCTGGGCTCTGGCCGGGTGCCCCTGGGCCCCTTCCTACACTGGTGCCTCCAGGACGAGTGGCAGCCTTGACTCCGTGTAGACCATGTCCCAGCCAGAGCGACTATGCAGGGACCCCACATGTCCGTGAGCACAGGCAGAGCCTCGTCCCTGAGCAAGGCTGGCCACGCTCTCCCCGAAAGCGAGCTGGGGACTTCGGAGTGGCAGCTGCTGGGGAAGGAAGAGGGTGCCCTGCAGGCTTGCGCAGACCGCCTGCCCCAGGCCCCTGTGGCAGAGCAGAGTGAGGAAGTGTACGTCTCCCGTGACTGGGCTGTCTGCTGCCCATACCATGAGGGGCCCTCTGCGGATAAGCCTAGAGGGTGTGGTTTAAGCGGTGGGGCAGCTGTCCCCTTGCACCTGTTTGTCAACCCCATTAGGGTCATGCACTCACCTTTGACCCTCCCAGAAAGGGAACCCACATGAACTTCCCCGAGGAGTCACATGGAATCGGTGTCTCGTCCGATGGTCCCTGCAAGACAGAAGCAGCCCAGGCTCTGCCAAGGCACCCAGCTCCCCCTCCATCCCTGGGGGCCCCTTCCTCTTATAGATCAGGGTCCCCCTTGGGATTTTACAGTCCGGCCCCTCCTCGTCTTGTTCATTCCTATGCATACATTGTTCACCATGTTTTCTGGTTTTGATCTCAGTGAAATACTTTGTCTCTCTTTGAAGAATTAAAGATGAAGAGAGACAGGCAGACAGAAAAGAACCACCCCCCAACCACCACCATGTTTAGGGAGAACAGAGCTCCCTGGGGCTCAGGGGTGGGGTGATCCAGGAAGAACCTGGAAAGAGACCCAGCCCATCTACAGTCCACATGGAGTCCTGTGTCTCCCATCATGTCCTGAAGTCTCCATGCAGGAGCAAAGTATATGTTTGTGCATAATGTGTGCACATGGCTGAACACGGGTGTGGGCTGCTTGCCTGGAGCCAGGAGGGTGTGTCTGGGTGGGTGTGGGGTGGGAGGTGAGTTGTAGGGGAGCCTCCGTGTGCTGCCCTCAGGGCAGAGCAGGGCCCAGCCGCCGCTGGTTATCATCTGTCTTGTTCTCTCTCTGCTCCTTGACACTGGCAGTGGTGGCTTTGGTGCTGGTGGCAGGGAAGCCTTAGCAGCCCGGAGCCGGAGCCTCTGCTGGTCCTCAGGCCAGGTACAGTGTGGGGGCCCTGAAGCCCGTGTTCTGGGGTCCACGCTCAGGTGATGGATCGAGCACTGAGATCCATCCCCTTATGTCGGTAACACCACCTCTGGAACTCTCCATTTCTCTCCGAAATGCAGTGGTACTTGCTCACTCTCCATCGCCCCTGTTGTACTCACCCCTCCCCGGCTCGCCATACCTGTGCCCTGTCTCCCAGAGAGGCCCCTACCCTCCCTTCCTCTGGCCTTGGCACGTCGCCAAGGCCCAGGGCCTGCTTCTCTTGCTCACGGCCATGCTTCCTAACTGCTCTCTCCCTCCCCCCACCAAGAGCACCAGAGAATTCAGCTCCTGTGTCTCATTGGCAGGGTTTGTAGCCGCTGCTGCCTGCAAAGTGAAGACATGGCCCAGGGCTGATTGTGGCAGAGCCCTCGGGGCAATGTCCCCCATGTCAGGGACACAGGACAGTAGTAAGCCAGATGTGGGTGTGCCTGTGACTGGTCAGGCACCTTTCCCTGTGGTCACCACTTCCACCTGTCACTCTTCTCAGAAATGGAACCACACCCTTCTGAGGCCTCTACAGGGTGAAGCTTGTTAGCTTGGTCACATGGTGCTTGCTGCTGGGGGCCAGGGGGGGGCCTGGTACTGTTGAAACCGCTGCCAGCCCAAGCCCTCCCAGAGTCCAGCTTAACTCCCCAGATACTGCTCTAACCAAGGAGGGAACGGCCCAGCTGAACTGTCCGCGGAGCCTGCTGCTCGGAGGCCTGCGCTGCCTTCATGTATGTTTTCTGTGGCATGTATGTGTGTGTGGCCGCTGGGGAGAAGCCTCGTCCTCCACAGCTGCACACGCTGAGTGCAGGGCTTCTTCATAATGTAAACCTGACAGATTCTGTGCAGAGACTTCGTTGGCTCTGAAGGAGGGGGCGGGAGATGTTCTCCAAGTGTGGGTCCTGCGGGGCAGGCGACGTCCACAGAAAGGGCACTCTGCCAGCCGCCTTTCATTGTAATGCATTTAGGAGCAGGCGCAGGTCTCCCCACTCAAGCCTGGGTCCCTGCAGGAGGCGGGCAGGAGACCGAGCGCTGCCAGCTGTGAATGCACGGGGCACGCTGTGCTCTCCCTGCGAAGTTCCTGGCAGAGCCCGGTGAGCACTGCCTGTGGAACCCCGTCTGCATCTGCCCTGTCTGCAGAGGGCTTGTTCCCGGGGGTGACCGTCCCACCGCAAGGACCAGACCCGGCCTTTCTGCTTCCTCGCCTCTGCCTCGCTCCACCTCCTGACGGGGAACAGCGATGGCTGTGGCCTTGGCGTCTCTGGCTTCTGCACGCCAGGCACATCTCCGCTCTCGGGGAAGCCCAGACTCAGCTGCTTTTGAGATCACGTGTCCCCAGTGCCATGTGCTCATAGCCGTGCAGACCCCACATGGGGAGAGCAGCATCTCAGGGGAGACGCGGGGGAGGACCTGAGCATGTGTGTGCCTGTGTGTGTGCCAGTGTGTGTGTGTCCCCTGTACATGTATGTGCACGTGTGTGCATGCCCATGCTTGTGTGTATGTGTATGCCTGTACAAGTTGCCGTGTGTGCATTTTAGGTGTGAGCATGCGTGTATGCAAGTGTGCACTGATCATGTGTGCATGCATGTGCTCGTGTGTGAATGCATGTGCCTGTGCCTAGGTGCAAGTATGCGCAGATGTGCGCATGCACCTGTGCACGTGTACTTCCGTGCATGCATGTGTGTGCATGTGTGCAGTGGCTGTCTACATGTGTAAGTGTTCTTCGCAGTGTGCATGTAGGCGCCTTGTGCACATGTTGCACACACGTGCATGTTCAGGAGTGCCTGTGTGTGCAGGTGTGCGTGTCTGCACTCCACCCAGGACATTTCCTTCTCCCTGCTCTCTGCATCCCATGTGGTTAGCTCAGTCGTCCGGCGGGCTCTCCTGCTTTGGAGTCTACATAGTGAGCTCCCAGCTGTTGGTGCTTGTCAGATACGCGGTTTGGCAGAAAAGCGGCCCATAGTTCTGCCTCTGCCTCTGCAGAGCAGTCAGTCCTGCAGGTTCCTGAGGCTGGTGCCAGACTGCCCTGTGGCCCTTTGGCCACGGGGCCCAAGGTGAGGCCAGGACACCCAGCCGGGTTCACGGCCACACTGGGTCTCTCATCACCCAGCCCTTGGGCAGAAAGGAAGCATGAGGCTGTCTGCCGCTGTGGCCAGGGGGCTGGAATTCCCACGGTCACTTCCACACACTCTTTCCATCCACATGTGTCCCTCTCCTGACTGGACACCGTGCCCTGTTGCCATGACGGTGAGGCCCACTGAATGTGTTCAGAGCCTGTTCTGTATCCATCCCAGAATTACAAGTACAAGCAGCTTGGGGTCCCCAGGGGACCATGAGCTTCCCCTGTGTCCTGGCTCTGCTAGGGTATCTGTCTTAGGTGAGAGTGCACATGAGAGGCAAGAGTGATATCAGACTCACACACGAGTGCCTGCTCACACCCACAGGGCCTGCTCACACCCCACAGGGCCTATTCACACCCCACAGGGGCTGCTCACACCCCACAGGGCCTGCTCACACACCCCAGGGCCTGTTCACACCCCACAGATCCTGTTCACACCCACAGGACCTGTTCACACCCCACAGGGCCTGCTCATATCCTGCAGAGTCTGTTCACACCCCGCAGGGCCTGCTCATATCCTGCAGTGTCTGTTCACACCCCGCAGGGCCTGCTCATACCCCACAGGGCCTGCTCACACCCCACAGGGCCTGTTCACACCCACAGAGCCTGCTCATACCCCACACCCCACAGAGCCTGCTCATGCACTACAGGGCCTGTTCACACCCACAGGGCCTGCTCACACCACACAGGGCCTGCTCAAACCCCATAGGGCCTGCTCACACCCCACACCCCACAGGGCCTGCTCACACCCCACATCCCACACCCCACAGGGCCTGCTCACACCACACAAGGCCTGCTCACACCACACAGGGCCTGCTCACACCCACAGGGCCTGCTCGCACCACACAGGGCCTGCTCAAACCCCATAGGGCCTGCTCACACCCCACACCCCACAGGGCCTGCTCACACCCCACATCCCACACCCCACAGGGCCTGCTCACACCACACAAGGCCTGCTCACACCACACAGGGCCTGCTCACACCCACAGGGCCTGCTCGCACCCCACAGGGCCTGCTCGCACCCCATAGGGCCTGCTCACACCCCACACCCCACAGGGCCTGCTCACACCCCACATCCCACACCCCACAGGGCCTGCTCACACCACACAGGGCCTGCTCACACCTCATAGGACCTGCTCACACCCACAGGGCCTGCTCGCACCCCATAGGGCCTGCTCACACCCCACACCCCACAGGGCCTGCTCACACCCCACATCCCACACCCCACAGGGCCTGCTCACACCACACAGGGCCTGCTCACACCTCATAGGACCTGCTCACACCCACAGGGCCTGCTCGCACCCCATAGGGCCTGCTCACACCCCACACCCCACAGGGCCTGCTCACACCCCACATCCCACACCCCACAGGGCCTGCTCACACCACACAGGGCCTGCTCACACCTCACAGGGCCTGCTCACACCCCACAGGGCCTGCTCACACCCAACAGTTCACAGAAGCAGCCCAGGGCCCTGAGCCTGGCTGTCTCTCCCCATTGATCACCTGCCTCTAAGCAGTGCCTCTGCCCTGAAGCTGTGCCCTCTCTCAACACCCTTGTTCTACAGAGTTGGAGGCTGTCTCCCAGGGAAGCCGTGACTGCAGGTGCATCTTGTAGGTGGTGAGTGGGCACCCAGTGCTCAGTCTGGAGTCAACCACTCCCTGTGGGTGTAGGATGCTACTAATAGGGGACAGAAAGCCACTGTGAGTGGGACAGATGCTGTCCCTGGAGTCACACTGAGGGCCACTGAATTCAACTTTGTGCCCAGAATGCCCATGGCTGTGTCTGCCCTCACTGCCTCAACGTGGGGTTGGGGTGGGAGAAGGGGCCGGAGTGGAAGGCACACAGAGGCTGTGCGGTCTGCGCCCTGCATGCGTTGTTTGTGACGAGCATGGTGGAATGTGGCATCTGCTGTGTGAAAACCCTCTGTGGGTGTGCGCCTAGGGTGCAAGTGCCCAGGGCTTTCTCCTCATCACAGCATAGACTTGGGAGAGGCCTGGTTGTCACTGGGGGCCCAGCCTGGGCTGCAGAACCAAACACAAGGAAGGCAGGTGCACAGCTCCTCCCACGGCATAGGCAAAAGCACCTGTCTGGGAAGGGGGAGCCCACACAGCTGGCAGTGACTTAGGGCAGGGTCTTCCTGATGGGCTCGGGGAGTCTCAGCCCAGAGGCTGTGATCTGTCAGCTCTCTGCTTGGCCCCCACCCACAGGGACACGGCCCAGCTCTACAAATCTGTGTCCAGCTGGGGGAGCCTTGGTGGGACTTCAGCCGGCACTGAGGCCTCCTTGGAAAGAGCAGCAGTGAGTGGTCTGTGGTGACCACAGGAAGGGTGAACTGGGCCACTGCTGGCCACACTGAGGCCTGAAGCTGCTCGGAGACAGGCTTTGCTGTGTCGCACCACTTGGTGCCGGGCCGGGAGCTCCTGCAGTCGGAGCAGAGCTGCACTCAGGCAGCTTTCCAGTGTGAGCAGCTTTCCAGGCCCAGGTGCAAGGAGGGAAGGGTTGTGCAGCCACCATAGCCGCGTGGAACCCGTGTCCTGGCCACGGAGCGGAGGATGATGGCAGAGTAACAGTGGGTGCAGGCCTCCTGCATGAGCCTGGAAGTGCTGAGTGTGGACCAGGGAGCAAATAAGCCCAGCGGCAGCAGCCAGGCAGTGGCCAGGTCAGTGCCAACCTGAGCTTCCTCGTGCCAGCGGGTGAGGCTGGCGTGGGTTGCAGACCCTAGAGAGACAGGCATTGCCTCCACGTTTCCCGGGTCTTTGGGATATTACTGAGCGTCTACACCCATCCTTTGCTCGCCTCTCAGCAGCCCTGTGGAGCCCTTTAGAGCAGCGTTGCCTGGGTCTGGCAGAGCCGGTTCTTGCGCAGCCGAGGGGAGCTGCCCTGAAGGGCAGTGCTTTCTGCTGCACAAGCTCGCTTCTCCCTGTGGTGCTGTGGTTGGTCTCGGGCTGTGGCTCCTTGCACAGAGTGTGGCTGGGAGAAGTGTCTTCTCAGCCTGCAGATCCTCTCGCGAGACCCGTGGGCGGGCGGAGAAGGTACCCTGAGTGGCAGGCCTCCATGCTCTGTCGAGCTTTCTCTGTCTCCCACCAGCAGACCCGAGTGGTAAGGGGGGCGGGGCTGTGGCTTCACCGTCTCCGCTCAGAAGCTGCAGGTCTCCCTTATGCCCGTGTTTGGTGAAAGACCTGGCTCTGCCGAAGCTTAGCGGACCTTATGCCCTGAAACCGCTCCCTCTCCACAAGCAGCTGTGCTTTCATCTTGTGAGAGCTTCAGAAGGTGGACTGCAGTGTCTGCTACAGCACCCAGTGCTTACGGCCGTCACTTCACCTGGAAAACGGGAGTGCAGATGCCCGATCGCTGAGCAAGCCCCTCCTCCCCTGCAGGCCTGGGCTTCCGCTGGCAGGAGATCCCCCGGATCCCTGTTCACCCTGGGCCTGTGAGAAGTGCAGAGGCCATGGCGCTTACCAGATGCAGGAGTGAACCTGAGATCTGTCCTTCGGGAAGCGGGTCCTGGGAGATGGAGGCCAAGCTGTAAATTCTCATCCTCTCCTAGGAAGACACCGTGGAGACGTGGCCCTGGTTTTGTTGGGAGCAGCCAGGAACCTATCAATAAGTAGGAAAATTAATTTGGTAAAACATTTGGCCCCACTGAGTCACAAATAAATAATAAACAAAAGTTTAAGACAAAGCTGGAGAAAACGTCACTGATCGGCTAGGCAGTGTAAGAACAATCTGATGGCACATGAATAGCAAAGTATAAATGATTACACTTACGTGATTTACAAAAACCACATGAATTATTTCCAAAACAGTGTGCTTCAGAGTGTATAATGAACTCAACTTGCTGGCCTCTTGATGGCTTTGGGACACACCGTGTCTGGTCCAGGCGAATTGCTCAGCGTCTGCCTGGCCGTGGCCCCTCACCCTGTCTTTTCCAGGGCAGTTTTACAGTCGGGTGGTCCTGTGTTGGAAGCTGGAGGATCCAGGCTTTTTTTCTGCAGTGATTAGAGTCCCAGTTTCAATGGCTCTGCTGCTGTGAGAGACCCACTTTACAGAAGGCTTGGGGCAGCTTGGCCTTGTGCCTGTGTGGAGTCGGCCAGGCTGCCATGCGTTCCTGGGGCCAGAGTGTGCTATCAGGAAGCCCCGATTTCCAGAACATGGTGCACATACTGTGACATGTCACTGGGATTCGGGGAGGAAATTAATTTAGAGAATAAATTCTGTCCTTTATCCGGGTGTGTGGGAGAAGTGATACTGTGATCTCCTGAGTAAGATGCGCGAGTCTGACCCCTGGGGGGATGTTCAGGCCCCGGGGATGAGGCCTGGGCTAAGTGGAGGCAGAGCCTGCAGTGTGGGCTCCCAGCCCACCACCTTCCTTACCCTCACCTTAGGGTATGGAGATTGTCCAGTGTGCTGGCAAGGGGTCAGCTTCTCCCTGGGACCACTCCATCTTCCCATGGCAACTTGCATGTGGTCGCAAGTTTGTCGCGTGCTTGGTTACTTGAGTCTGTCTTCCCTCCTGGGCCAGGTGTGTTCCAAGAGGTTGGTGGCCTTGTTTGTAGTCTAGTGCCTAGAACAGGGCCTGGTGTAGACGCATGTTAATGAGCACATGTAGCGTGTGTGGCTAACCCACCCCAGGCCCAGTCTTGTGAGTGGAAAGATGTTGTCATAGCTGTGGACATTGGGAGGTTGTTGCAGTAAGGGCGTAAGCTTTGTCTTTCACTCCCAAATCACCATCCACCCGGCACTGTCAGTGCAGATTAATCTAATTCCCATTACGGGTCCAGGCTCTGAGTGACATGAGAAGCCTTTGCTTGTGACCTCACTGCTGTCGTGCACAGGGAGAAGGCAACTGCTGTGACCAGCAAGTAGCCACTGACGCCCGGCCTGCAGCCGTCTTCACAGTGGCAGTGGGCAGGGTGCACACAGGTGAGACCACGGGGGCACTCACCCACGATGGTGCTTAGAGCTGGGCTTCCCCGCACTCAGGTGGACACCAGCACCTCGTCCAGCACCGGAATTCAGCGAGCCGGTGCTGCTGGTGCCGAGACTCAGAGGTGAAGGGCAAGGGCTGAAAGCACCATGGACGGACGCCGCGGGTGCTGGGCACCTGTCTGTGAGCTAGGACGGGGGAAGGGCGTGTGCTCTGGAGTGTGTGTGTGTCTCGAGGACAATTCGCCGGCCTCCTGCCTGTGGCAGAGCCCACAGTGGGAAGCCCCCCACTTTTGAGCTGATGAGTGAGAGTTCAGAGTGGCCCTGGCGGTGGGGCTGGATGTCCCTGGGGATGAATTCCTGGGTGAGCGAGACTGTGACCGAAGCGTCTCCCCTGGAGAAGGATGTCTGGCCATGAGCAGGTGCCCCTCCCCCAGCCGGGCTGCTTACACACTCATGGGGACAGAGGGTCTGCGTGAGGCCTGCGCTAGCACACGCTGCTCAAACAGCGCGGGGCCTGCGGGCTGTGGAGCTCGGGGCCGTGGCGACTGGCAGCCAGCTGGCCCTTCTTCCATACGCATGTGCGGTCTGCAGGCGCCGAGGCCAGGGTGGGCCCTGGAGCCGTGCCTCAGCAGCCCTGCCCTGTGACCATCCCCTTTCTCCATGAGCGTTCTGACCGCTTTCCTCTCTGCCCACCCCCTTTCTCCTCTGACTGCCTCGGACCGGATTCTCCGTAGGAATGCTTTGGGGTAAATATGTTTGGTTTTCTTTGAAGTAAAAGAGACTGGGTTGGGTTGGAGGGGGGAGAAGGTGCACTGAGAACGGGGTGCTGCGTGTGTGTGAGTGGCGTCTTCCCCGATACCCACGGTTCAAAGATCAGCAGTTGCCAGGCCTTCTTGGGAAAGGGTCGTCGTCAGGGCCGGATTTGGGCTGCTCTTGCTTAGTGCCCTAGAGCTGTGCAGGAGGAGGAGCCTGTTGCAGCATGGCAGTCTGCCAAGACCACGGTGCCGTGAGGATGCCTACAGGGCACTCGCGAGCGAGGCCTGGATGTGGTGCTCCTGGGCCATGGCCGGAGGCAGGCATGGGAGCGTCCCCTGGATGCGGTAATGTCTCTGCCCCTCTCTTCTGTGGAAAGACAGTTGGGGGTGGGGTGGCAGGAGGGCAGGGCAAGAGCAGGAGGCTGCCGCCTGACCTCCGCAGCCCGCCCCTGCCTGGGTCACGAGGTGGGGAGCCCGGCTAGGGCCTCCCTTGCTGCTCAGCCTCTTTGCCACCTGTGTTTTACAAAGTGAAATTACTTAAATTGAATGCAGAAATCTCAGGGGACAAGCAGGGAGGAACGGGAAATGCAAGTTGATTATTCATTTCATTCCTAGAAATGAAGGAGACGCTGTTCCCTGTCAGAGCAGAGTTTCTGAGGGGCTGGCAGGGCTGAAAGGTGGCCGGGGGCCCAGGGCTTCCTGTGGCCATGCAGGTGCAGGCGTATGAAGGGGCCACATCTGCAGGACACTGGGATGCGAGCCCTGGTCTTGGCCAGGAACCTGCGGATAGCTCTGGCATGGGCAGCCCAGGGAAGGAGGTTTGTGCTCCTCTGGCCTCCCCCATGCCCTCCCTACCTCCCCTCCCCCACTCCTCTCCTCCCTGCCTTCCCGTGGCCCCCTTCCCATGCCTCCTACACGCCTGAGCTATGCAGAGAGGCAAACATGGAGTGACTTGTTCTCAGTGTGGGCTCCTGTTCCAGGTAGCAGGGGTCATTTGGAAAGTTCTGGAAAAGCTCTTGGGAGGCAGAGTGGAGGTCATGGTCCTGTGGGTGGGGGGTGGGTCTCCCCTTCAGTTTGCCCGTGTGTGGTGAGTGGTACTACATTGGCTGTGAGGGCAGGGAGGAGTCTGAGTGTGTGCAGGTGCGCCTGGGCATTGCCACATGTGTGTTCCGCGCTGTGTGCCTGTGTGCATGCACACTCTGGCCCCACTGTGCCAGGACAGTCCTGGGAACACGGCTCTGCTGTCCCCTCTGTGCCGCTGCAGGACCAACAAGGGGCGCGACATCAAGACCATCAAGTCGCTGCGTGTGCTTCGTGTGCTGCGGCCCCTGAAGACCATCAAGCGCCTGCCCAAGCTGAAGGTAGTGCCCGGGCCTGCCGCGCTGTGCTCTCCTCTGCTGTGGCTGCCTGGTCCCTCCGCCGCCTCTGGACGGCGTCTCCCCTTTACCCACGGGGAGCTGAGTTGCTTTCTCCTGTGGGAGCCAAGGGCCGTTCTTAGTCTCAAAGGAAAATGGCCAGTGTCCCAGGAGTGGATGTGGGGCCTTGCTTCCTCGGTGCAGACGCAAGTGCACACTGAAGCCACGTGGCTTTGGTCTGTGCCCAGGAGGTGGCCCAGAGCTCACGGCTGCACGTGGGGCCGGTGGTGCCCTGGGCTGGTTTTGCTCCTGGTAATTCTAGACCCAGAAAGCCTCTTTCTACTGATGCATGGACAGGTGAGTGACTTGCGCAGGGATGCGTGGTGCTTCCCAAGAGGCAGGCAGAGGGGGAAGGGCACTCAGCAGGGCATGTGCCCCGTGCAGAACCTGCCTGGCCCAGGTCCCTCCTGCTCCAGAACCTGGGGCTGCACTTCCCTTGGTGTCAGTGGAGGTGAAGTCCCCGTGGGAGCAAAGCGCCTCCTCCCAGGTTCCTGCGAGTGGGGGCCCAGGGCCCCTCACACGCCTGCGCCTGGGCCACGCTGCCGGCAGGCGTGCCGCACACCTGAATGCTTCCCAAGACGCAGGGGGAGTCTGGAACTGTGAACTTCTCCCAGGCCACCTGCATCGGAGCCTGCCTGGCTGCTTCCTAGAATGCAGGCCGCCGGGCCTCCCCACAGCCCCACCAGGTTCTCTGGGCTGGGACAGCCCCCCAAGCCCACCCCCGGGGCTGTCAGTGTGGCCTGTGTTGGGAGCCCGACCACATGGAGAGGAGCCCACAGCTGGCACCCTCAGCCTTGGGACTTGGGTGCAGAACGACCCTGGTGCGTTCCTGTGGGACTCTAGTTCCCCTGGGGGCTGGGACCCTTAGCTCCTATGTGCTGTGAACCAAGGGAGCCAACCCTATAGGAAGACTCAGCAGTCCCTGTGTCCGAGGACCAAGCTGCCAACTGGACTCTCCAGCTGCCCGGGTCTAGTTCCCTGCTGGGCTTTTGACCTTTGACACTGCCTGGCCCCAAAGTGCTGCATACAGGAGGCAAAACAAACAAGCTGGGTGACAGCAGAGTCCCCTCTGAGAGCCCTGCCCTGACTGAGGTGTGGCTTCCTCAGAACCCAGGGCCCAGGGGTGGTGGCCTGGCCACCTCCTCCTCCTGGCTCCACTTCCCCCCTCAGGCACCCCCAGAGGCACCTGCTCCTCCTGGCAGTGGGCTAGTGCCTGTGGACAGTCCTTTCTCTCCCCTGGGCAACATATGGCTGGGCTGCCCGGTCTCCTGACCTGATAGCCACAGAACAGGCCCCAGACCCAAGCATAGACACCAGAGAGACCATGAGCTGCCGGAAGCCGCCCCAGCCTCGCTTAACACCACCAAGTCGTGAGCTGTCTCCTGTTCAGTGTGGTTACCCGAGGCCGAGGCTGCCTGAGCCGACGCTCCTGTTCCTGGCAGTGCAGAGCCGAGAGCAACACCGCTTCACCCAGCATCATTAAGAAGAGCCCAGCTGCACACAGGCAGCACCACTGCGGGCTGTGAGTGCAGGGAGCTGAACCTAAAACCTAGACCGTCACCTAAAGGGCTGGAAACGTGCCCGGTTCCCATGTAGCTCCATGCAGCTTAGGGCCTGGAGCGGAGGCAGGAGCCCGTAGCTCCATGCAGCTTAGGGCCTGGAGCGGAGGTAGGAGCCGGGTTCTGGAGCGCAGCTTCCTGTGTCTGGGACAGCTCTGCACCCCTACTCTGTTGACCTCCATGCTAAGCACAGCTTGACCTGCAGAGATGGAGTGTGGGCAGATGCAGAGCAAATGAAGGACAATAAACCCTTCAAATAGAGACAGGGGTGCATTGGAAATGCCACGGAACAAGCTTGGAATCAGGTCAGAGAATGTGGCACAGGCACAGGCACAGGCTCAGTGTCACCAGCTCCCAGCAGTGGTGCACGTGCCACGTCCCACAGGGCCCCTCTCCTTGATGACCTGGTCTCCACTGCCTGGGCTTTCCACATGCAGGGCACACGTCCTCCTCGGGCCACAGCCTGGAAGCTCGGGGCTGACCCCTGGGGCCACCTCTCAGTAGTGTTGGGTTGGGTGGGCGGCTCCGCTTCAGTGAACAGGCCTCAGGGGCTCAACCACGTGGCCTGCCACCATGTGCCGGCCCTCAGGCTCAGGCTGCGTGCCGTGTACCACCCCTGGCCGGAGGCCCTTGGGCTCATTCCCATGTACCGCTGCTGTCCGGAGGCCCTTGGGGGCTCATACCTGTGTACCGCCCTGGTCTGGAGGCCCTCAGGGACTCACGCCCCTGTACTGCTCCTGTCCAGGGGCCCTCAGACTCAGGCCGTATGCCTGTGTACCGCCCCCGTCCGGAGGCCTTCAGGCTCATGCCGTGTGCCACCCCCGTCCAGAGGCCCTCAGGGGCTCATGCCGTGTGCCACCCCCGTCCAGAGGCCCTCAGGCTCGTGCCCGTGTGCCGCCCCCGTCCGGAGGCCCTCAGGGGCTCATGCCCTGTGCCACCCCCGTCCGGAGGCCCTCAGGGGCTCATGCCCTGTGCCTTACCCCTCTGCAGGCCCTCAGGGGCTCATGCCGTGTGCCTTACCCCTCTGCAGGCCCTCAGGGGCTCGTGCCCGTGTGCCTTACCCCTCTGCAGGCCCTCAGGGGCTCATGCCCTGTGCCTTACCCCTCTGCAGGCCGTCTTTGACTGCGTGGTGACCTCCTTGAAGAACGTCTTCAACATCCTCATCGTGTACAAGCTCTTCATGTTCATCTTCGCTGTCATCGCAGTGCAGCTTTTCAAGGGAAAGTTCTTTTACTGCACGGACAGCTCCAAGGACACGGAGAAGGAGTGCATGTGAGTGCCCCCACGCAGTGCACTTCCTGCTCAGCCTCCCGTGCGCATCCTCCGGCTGCCTGGGCCCGCTGGCCGCCCTTCCCCCTTGCTTGTCCCCTGCCTCTCAGCAGAGGGACAAGACAGGAAATTGCAGCTCTTTGGAGCCCCTCTATGGCACACGTGGCCCGGTGTTCTCCGTTCCTCCATCTCAGTCTTGCCATCCGTTGACATGGGTTTAGCCAGCACAGTGTAGCTGTGGAAGCTGACTCAGCACAAGGTGACAGGGCGACGAGGCAGGGATAAGTTTGAACGCAGTCCTGCTTTTATTCCATGCAAATACCTGCCTCCTGGGTGATTGGTGTGATCACTGAAGGGCGTGGCCCCCCCGCCTGGGCCCCAGATGCACGTTGGTGTCAGGAGGGAGCTCTCGGAGGCCCATCCCACTGATGCCGTTGGCAGCTGCTGAGCTCCCTGGTGCCGTGTTTCTGCGTGGTTTCAGAGGCAACTATGTGGATCATGAGAAAAACAAGATGGAAGTGAAGGGCCGTGAATGGAAGCGCCACGAGTTCCACTACGACAACATCATCTGGGCTCTGCTGACCCTCTTCACCGTGTCCACGGGGGAAGGCTGGCCTCAGTGAGTGCTGGGCAGGTGCAGGCTGACCCTCTTCACCGTGTCCACGGGGGAAGGCTGGCCTCAGTGAGTGCTGGGCAGGTGCAGGCTGACCCTCTTCACCGTGTCCACGGGGGAAGGCTGGCCTCAGTGAGTGCTGGGCAGGTGCAGGCTGACCCTCTTCACCGTGTCCACGGGGGAAGGCTGGCCTCAGTGAGTGCTGGGCAGGTGCAGGCTTGTCTGAGGGGCAGGGGCCCCTCGAAGCTGCCTTGAGACGGGAAGGCTGACCCCCAGGAACCATACCAGGGAAGGAACAACTGAGAGGGATGAGGCAGACATCCTCCCGGGAGAAATGGGCGAGGGGCTGGCAAAGGCGGCCAACTGTGTGTCAGCCAGTTATTGAGGACTTACTTGAGTGGAGCCGTCTGACTCCCAGAGACAAAGTGGGTTTCCAGCAGTTCTCCACCCCCAGGAGGGCACAGGGACCTCAGGGATTCTGCGGGCTCCAGGTAGCTGAGGGTGGAGATGAGCTGTAGAACCGAGACCCCTCCCGCGCTCCCACACCTCCCACATCAGCTTCTGAGGCTGGGTCTTGGGAGCCCCAGTAGGGACTGCATGCCTGGTGGGCAGCAGGCTCCCTAGAGGAACTCCAGGACTCTGGGCATAACCTAGCCATTACCCTTAGAAGTGTGGAGGCGTTGGGTGCCTGCCAGAGCAAGGGGCGTGGATTGTGTGCCAGTGACACGCCGCCCGGTTGGTGACAGACCTGGCAAGGTAACAGAGTCCAGGAAATCCCACAGGGCCATCCCCGGGGCGCGTTCGCTAAGCAGCACTCTGGCCCGCAGGGTTCTGCAGCACTCTGTGGACGTGACCGAGGAGGACCGAGGCCCGAGCCGCAGCAACCGCATGGAGATGTCCATCTTCTACGTGGTGTACTTCGTGGTCTTCCCCTTCTTCTTCGTCAACATCTTTGTGGCCCTCATCATCATCACTTTCCAAGAGCAGGGGGACAAGATGATGGAGGAGTGCAGCCTGGAGAAGAACGAGGTGCTGGCAGGGCAGAGACTGGGGGAGGGCGGGGGGGGCAGCAGAGGCCCGGGGAGGGGAGGAGAGCAGAGGCCTGGAGAGGGGAGGGGAGCAGAGGCCCGGGGAGGGTGGTGCGGCAGAGGCCCGGGGAGGGCCAGCTGGGGAGGCGGGAGGAGCCGTGTTGGATGGAACTGTGGGCAGAAGCTGGGCAAGCCTGTTGCTCGGGCACAGCAGAAACGTGCCCTGAGCACTTCCCGGCTGGAGCCCTGGTGTGAGCACTGAGGGTGGGAAGCTGCTGAGGGCCTGTGCGTGCCTGCTAAGAGAGAAACGTGCCAGCCGGGGATGTGGTGACGGAGCTGCCATGGCTTGTGCTGGAATGGCAAGCAGTGGGCCTTACGGCTGCTTCTCTGGTGACAAGCGTGATTCTGGCCCTTGGCAGGGTCTCGGTAGTAGGCCCTGAGCTGGGAGAAGTATAACAGGGCCCTGCAGGGGCATGGCAGGCAGATCTGACTTCAGCTGGGGGCCGGGAAAGGCGTCCACTCTAAGTGTCTCAGCCGTTGCTGCCTCGAGGGACTTCGTCAGTGCCATTAAGTGCCCCCCAGGGGCAGCTCCTGTGGCTCTGTGGAGGTGGCCCCTGTGGCCACTTCAACTTCTGCCTGTCCATCCCTGCCCTTTGGCACACACTAGCCGCTTCCAGCCACTCAGAAAACTTGCTGTGGACTAACCCTGTGGCTCTCTTGCAGAGAGCATGCATCGACTTCGCCATCAGTGCCAAGCCACTCACCCGCTACATGCCGCAGAACCGGCACACATTTCAGTACCGCGTGTGGCACTTCGTGGTGTCCCCATCCTTTGAGTACACCATCATGGCCATGATCGCCTTGAACACCGTCGTGCTGATGATGAAGGTAAAGACGCGGTGCTGGCCTCTTCCTCCGAGAGCAGCAGCCTGTGCGTGCAGGCCAGGAGCTCGCCGGTGTCCAGTCTGCTGCCTCTGCCTGCTTTCGCACATGGAATCTCTGTGGTCTGATCTTTTCTGATGACCCAGGCTCTGGGAACTGGTGGTGCACTGGGTGCAAAGGAGAAAGGGTGCAGAAGTGAGGAGGTGGTGGGGTTCCACTTCCAACAGATGGGGAGTGCCAGGTGTGGGGTGTCAAGGGGCGCTGGGTACAGCTGAACACTGGATGAGAAAGAGCTGCCCTAGAAAATGTCTCTGCCCTGCCCCACCCCAGGCAGGCCAGCTGTTTCGTTGCTAGGGACTGGGCAGGGCCAGGGCTGTTTTTCTGTGTGTGTGTGTGTGTGTGTGTGTGTGTGTGCTTGCTGGGGCAGTCAACCCTCTCCCTGTGGCTCTAACTCTTGCTGTCTTCCCTCCCTGGCAGTACTACTCTGCCCCCTGCACCTACGAGCTGGCCCTGAAGTACCTGAACATCGCCTTCACCATGGTGTTCTCCCTGGAGTGTGTCCTGAAGGTCATCGCTTTTGGCTTCGTGGTATGTTGCCAAGTCTGCACTTGGCGGCACCCACCCCGCCTTTGCTGGAAGGGGGACGTTCCTGCTGTTCCAAAGGTGGTCGGCACACCCAAGGGTGGCTTGTGCTGCCTGCTCAGTGGGTGGCCACAGAGCTAACAACACAGGAGGGGCCACATCCCCGGCTCCCCACTCCTCCAGCCATCAGCCCTGCTCCTGCCGAACTCTGAGCAGTAAGGGCGGCGTGGGGGGTGTCGCGAGACTTGCAGTGTGCTTTAGATTCAGGGGCAACAAGGAACAGACTGATGGGTGAGTGTCTGCTGGCAGAGGGGCCGGGAAGAGTGATCTCTGCCAGTGGAAATAGTGCATGCTGCCTGTGTGCAGAGGCCATGACCTTTGAGGGTGTGTGTCGGGGGGGGGGGGGGGTCCTGCAGCTGAGTTTGGGGAGAGTCGGGGCAGATTCTGGCACAAACCCTCCGCTCACTTCTCAGCTGTTCATCAGACTTGTTTGGCCGACGCTCACATGTGCTCTCAGGGCATCAAGAAAACCCAGCCCTGTGCCCTACCAACAGGACACACCCTCTGTGACCCGCTCACCTGAGTGTGTGCAGTGCGCCCAGCGGGATGCACCTGGCACCATTTCCCTCTTGTCCAGGGGATGAGCTGCCCTCTCAGGTCTTCCTGGCAAAGCAGCTGTGTCCGGCAGCAGCTAGAACAGGGACTCTGGTTTGATCCCCGTGAGTGTTGGCTGCGGGGGTGCCTGCCGTCTCTTGAGACCCCACTCCCTGCGTCGTTGGGGTGGGGAGCTGAAGGAACCCCTCACAGGTGGCCACATTCTCTCCCTGGCTCCCTCTTGGGTGTTTGGAGACTTGGAGCAATAAACCAGCAAGGAACCTGAGCAGCAGCTCAGCCTTGAGTGCAGCCTGGCTCTGAGGAGAGCGTTTCCTGGGTCTGGCGATGCTTGGGCGTCTTCCCCGAAGCCTCCTCCTCCTGCCCTCCCTGTCCTTAGTCGAGTGCCAGGGGCAGCTCTAGCCCTGATGAGTCACTTGGCATTAATGTGCGAGGTACTTCAAAAAGTTCGTGGAAGAGGGGACCTAAGGGATAAGAGAATCTTGAAACCTACACGTAGTTTCTCCCTGGTGCGTTTTTTCTGTGAAAACCTGTGTTAGTGCGCTGGGTTTTCAGGATGCCCTGGCATGCACGTAATAATAATCCCACCAGCGTGTCTGGAGCACTGGGAGTGGACACAGTGCATACCCCCACTGCTATTTAAAGGAAGAAGCTGAGGGGAGCGGTGTGGCTCTGGGAAGGTCACGCCGTGAATGGGAGGGAAGGCGCTAAGACCTCTGGGTGGTCTGTGAGGCACCGGCATCTCCCATGCCCACGTTGTCTGCCTCATTGCTTTCTTACATGAATGAAACGGAGCTGAGAGAGGATGGATGTTTTGTCCCAAGTTAGTAGAAAGCAGAGCTAGGATTCAAATCCTGGTGTCTCTGACTTCAAAACTTGTGGTAAAATGGGTCTGGGTGGTGGTAGCCCTTTACCCACTGGGGATACAACCAGGTGCCAGTGATGTCTGAGACCGTGCACAGTGCTGACCGCATTATGTATGGTCTGTGTTGTGTGAGGGCTGCTGTGTTCTCCTGGTTGTGCAAACAACCTGGAGCATACTCTACAGACTGAGATGGCCCAGGATCCTCTGGGAACACCTGGGAGGGCTTCTTGCTGACTGGAACGTTGTTACCCAGCTTCTGACTGAGAACACAGCCTGTTGCTGACTGCAGCACCGTGTACAGTGTGTGACTGGGACATTGTGTGCAGTGTGTGTGTGTGTGTGTGTATGACTGAAACACCATGTGCAGTGTGTAACAACATGTGTGACTGGAACACCGTGTGCAGTGTGTGACTGTGTGACTGGAACACCGTACGCAGTGTGTAAGTGTGTGTGTGACTGGAACACTGTATGCAGTGTGTGAGTATGTGTGACTGGAACACCGTGTGCAGTGTGTGACTGAGCGTGTGTGACTGGATCACTGTGTGCAGTGTGTGACTGGAACACCGTGTGCAGTGTGTGACTGAGTGTGACTGGAATACCGTGTGCAGGGTGTGACTCACTGTGTGACTGGAACACTGTGTGCAGTGTGTGACTGAGTGTGTGACTGGAATACCGTGTGCAGTGTGTGACTTACTGTGTGACTGGAACACTGTGTGCAGTGTGTGACTGAGTGTGTGACTGAAACACTGTGTGCAGTGTGTGACTTACTGTGTGACTGGAACACCGTGTACAGTGTGTGACAGCCTGTGTGACTGAGTGTGTTGCCCACACTGGCTGGAATACTGTAGGCAGTGTGTGACTACATTGTGTTTTCCTGTCAAGTGCAGAATTTCACCTCCCTTGGAGTCACACTTGGGCTGCTTGGCATCTTGCGTTGCCAGCATGGCTGTACATGGGACCGTGGTAAAGTGGAATGAGTGGCCCTTTTTCCCCAGCACTGATTGCAGAGCAGCCACATACGGGTAGCATACACAGTGTGAATCACTGGTTAAAGAGACGACTCACAGTCCAGGGGTTGTGTAAGGACAGCATAAAATTTCATAACGTGGCTTAGACAGTGCACCCTACAACATGAGTTGTGTAGGTCTGGAATTCTCCATTTAATGTTTTTGGGCTGTCACTGACAATGGCTGACTGAAGCTGTGGAAGGTAAAACCAGGAATGAGAGGGGCTCCTGTCCTGTGTTATGCTGCCCTGCACCCCTGCCTGTAGACATCATCAGCTGGGACCCCAGTCACTTGGCGTGTTGTGACTTTCATTGACAGCTGAAAGTGTGATGGTGGCAATGGCTTTGTGGCACAGACTCAGCCCCAGATGTAGCAGGTTGTGTACATTAAGCATGGACAGCTTGTTTGGCCACCAGACCTCAGTGAAGTGGTTAACCCATGAATGAATGTTTGCTGAAAGATAAAATAATCTTTTTCTTATATGGTGAGAGTTTCAAACATGAGGTCTTTGAGCAGAGAGAAGTGAGAAATTTCCAGGTTAGTGGAAGAAAAACGGCGTTCTGAACAGAAACAGGAAGCTGTGGCGCTGGGAGGCACGTAGACTGGCACAGTCTAAGTTCAGGTGACAGACGGCATCACGGGATAAACGGTGTCTTTCTCCCTCGTTTCTTCCTCCTGGTGTCCTGGGGCGGCACCCACCGGGCAGAACTATTTCCGTGACACCTGGAATATCTTCGACTTCATCACTGTGATTGGCAGCATCACGGAGATCGTCCTGACTGACAGCAAGGTGAGGGGCTTCGGGACCCTGTCTGCGGGCCTGGTCGTGCATGCTCAGCCTCTTCTAGCCCCTGGAGCAAACCTACCCCCTCTGAGTGTGGGCACCCCAGAATAACCTGCCCCCCAAGTGTGGGGAGGACCCCCCAGAGCAAACCTGCCCCCCTCTGAGTGTGAGGACCCCAGAGCAAACCTGCCCCCCTCTGAGTGTGAGGACCCCAGAGCAAACCTGCCCCCTCTGAGTGTGGGCACCCCAGAAAAACCTGCCCCCCCTTCCGGGGAGGACCTTTGCCCACTTCTGAGCCTCAGCCAGTGCGTGCAGACTGCAGGGAGACCCTGGACCCCACGGCTGCGCAGGTGGGACAGGGCTGCCCGTGCCCTGCCACATCTCTGAGGAGCTGACCCAGAGGAGGCACGGCGCCTGAGCCCTTGGAGCTCTCTGCCGGGGCCGCTCCCCGAGTTTGTGCAGCCTCCTCACACCCCCGTCGCTGTGTGCAGGCGGCTCTGCGAGATCTGATCTGCGCAGGCGTCAGGGCCAAGCACACAGGGCGCCTTCGCGGCGCTTGCCTGGCCTTCCCCGGGGAGGCAGAGTGAGGGCTCAGCAGGTAGCCCTGGGCCAGCCAGGACGGAGCCTGCTCTGCCCTGTGCTGAGTGAGGAGGCCAGCTCGCCCCCGCGACGCCCACGTCCCTCCCTGTCCCTCCCTGCGGCAGCTGGTGAACACCACGGGCTTCAACATGAGCTTCCTGAAGCTGTTCCGGGCCGCGCGGCTCATCAAGCTGCTGCGCCAGGGCTACACCATCCGCATCCTGCTCTGGACCTTCGTGCAGTCCTTCAAGGTGAGAGCCCCAGCCCGGCGCGGGCCACGGCTGCGGAGGTGAACGCCCGCCCCCAGCCACGGCTGCGGAGGTGAACGCCCGCCCCCAGCCACGGCTGCGGAGGTGAACGCCCGCCCCCAACCACGGCTGCGGAGGTGAACGCCCGCCCCCAGCCACGGCTGCGGAGGTGAACGCTGGCCCCCAACCACGGCTGCGGAGGTGAACGCCCGCCCCCAGCCACGGCTGCGGAGGTGAACGCCCGCCCCCAGCCACGGCTGCGGAGGTGAACGCCCGCCCCCAACCACGGCTGCGGAGGTGAACGCTGGCCCCGCCCCAGCCATGGCCGCTGAGGTAAACGCCAGCCCCGCCCCAGCCATGACCGCTGAGGTAAAGGCCCACCCCAGCCACGGCTGCGGAGGTGAACGCTGGCCCCCAACCACGGCTGTGGAGGTAAAGGCCCGCCCCCAACCACGGCTGTGGAGGTAAAGGCCCGCCCCCAACCACGGCTGCGGAGGTGAACGCCGGCCCTGCCCCAGCCACGGCCCCGCCCCAGCCATGGCCGCTGAGGTAAATGCTGACCCCGCCCCAGCCACGGCCTGGCCCCGCCCCAGCCACGACCGCTGAGGTAAACGCCTGCCACGGCCCGGCCCCAGCCATGGCCGCTGAGGTAAACGCCGGCCCCGTCCAGGCCACGGCCCTATCCCCAGCCACGGCCGCTGAGGTAAACGCCGGCCCCGCCCCAGTCACGACCGCTGAGGTAAACGTTGGCCCCACCCCCAGCCATGGCCCTGCCCCCAGCCACAGCCGCTGAGGTAAACGCCGACCACGGCCCCACCCCCAGCCATGGCCACTGAGGTAAACGCCGGCCCCGCCCCCAGCCACGGCCTGGCCCCGCCCCAGCCACGGCCCTGCCCCCAGCCACGGCCTGGCCCCGCCCCAGCCACGGCCCTGCCCCCAGCCTTGGCCGCTGAGGTAAACGCCGGCCCCGCCCCCAGCCACGGCCTGGCCCCGCCCCGGCCCCAGCATGTCCAGCCAGGAGGGTGGCCTGGATCGCAGGAGGTTCCCAGCAGTCGGCCGGCAGAGCCCTTTTCTGGAAAGCAGGTGGTGGTGCGTGGCTCGGGCCCTGTGCCCGAGGCCGCTGCCCTGGCGGCCCTCGGCCTTTGCAGGGGCCTGGCTGGTTCCCGGAGCAGGTCTGCAGCCAGGCCGCTCGGACTGTCCCGCGTGCGGCACTGCTGCCTGCTCCCTGAGGCAGTCGCCGAGCTACACGATGGAGGTCCTTGCGCATGCGTGGACAGGAATCGGCGTGTGGTACTGCAGAGGCAGGACTCCTGTGCCGTGCAGGGGGCAGGCCCGAGACCCACTCCCCAAGAGACTCCAGGGAGGTTTTCCAAACGTCTTTAAAGATGGTCAGCCCTGGCAGTGACCGTAAACTCACTGCCCTTAAGGTTCCTAAGCATTGTGTAAATGCTGACGTTTTTCTCACGTACATAAAAAAGTTTTTCACTGAGTGTGCCTGAAAATAAAGTCGAAATTAAATGGTTCAGAGAGGGGAGGTCATGACTTTACCAAGCTGCCTTTCTTGTTCCAATACTTTTTACATTTTAATCAGAAAAGAACAAGCCGGCCTCGTGGCTCCTCGTTGTCTGGAAGGGGAGTGTGGCCCTGCCACTCCCCACCACTGGTTGCCCCAAGGCTTCGGCATCTGACAGAGGAGCCGGCCAGCAGCAAGGGTGCTCACACGCCTGGGAGCAGCCTGGATCTGTGTCTGGCTGTTCCCCCCAAGGCCTCTCTTTCCTGCAAACCAGTTTCCCGAAGTTAGATGACAAAGGAGAAATCTGAAGCCTTAGCAGGAGTTTACCAATGGAGTCTCAGGCAAATGTGGGTTCAGAATTGGATGCACAGATGCTGTTTTCCTGGGACCAGTGCTGTGGCATCCCAGATGGGGGCTGGTTCATGTCCTGGCTGCTCTGCTTCCGATCCAGCTCCCTGCTATGGCCTGGGAAAGCAGAGGACGGCCCAAGTCCTTAGGCCCCTGCACCCACGTGGGAGACCTGCAGGAAGCTCCTGGCTCTGGCCTGAACTAGATGCAACCATTATGGGAATCTGGGGAGTGAACCAGCAGATGGAAGATCTCTCTATATATACCTCGGACTTTCAAATAAATTTAAAAAAAAAGGAAATTTAAAAAAAACACCTGTTTTCCTGGGGACTGCAGCCCAAGAGATGGGTGCATCGCATTATCAGCACCAGGCCCTGCAGAACCAGGCGCCACTGAGGGCAGAGACAGGCATCACACATGGCTGGCCATGGGTCACGGTGGACGCTTCCTTCTCAGAACAGTGTGGGGGCACAGCACAGAGATTTCTTCCTGTGAGGCCAGCAAAGCCCTTTGCATTGCAAAGTGGGGCCCACTGGCAAGACCCCCACCAGCCCTGAGCACTGGCCATGTCTCCCTTTGCTCCCCTCCCCGGAGTTAAGGGAGGGCTGAGCTGGGAGATAGAAGGAAGACCAGGCGGGAGAGCAGCTGAGGCGGTGGCCGCTGACTCCCTGCCTCCAGCTCCCCCTCCCCCAGCCCTTGCTCTGCAGCGGTCACCAGGGCCGGCCTCCGCAGCTCTTGTTTTAGCCCCTGTGCAAGTGTGGATGGCTCCAGGGCAGAGGCTTCCTGTGGGCAGTTGCCGTGCTGAGCGCTGCCTGCTCCCGTGTCTGGAAGCCGCAGTGGACCCCAGGAGCCATGCTGTGCACACTCAGGATGGGGGACCCTCGTGGAGAGCTTGCTGGGGCAGAGGGGCTTCCCAGCCAGCACGGAGAGCACCCACCCCACATGGAAATGCCCACATCCCCAGGGGTGGGCAGTGCGGGTGCAAGTAGGAAGCCGCCACATGGCCTCAGGCAGGCTCTGTGTGGGAACCCTGCAGGGGCGCTCACCCTGAGAAGGAAGGTGCTACCAGCAGATGAGAGCCCCTGAGGGCTGAGGACAAGTGGCCCGGTCGCTGACCAGTCCCCAGGCTGGGGGGAGCAGCAAGTGGTACTGCAGGGCCCTGGGAGCAAGTCCGGGCGCTTGCTGGATGAGCAGTGGCACAGCCGTCCGGGCACGGGGGGGTTCTCGCAGCTCTCTGGTGAGGCCCTGGGAGAAGTAAGTTCCAGGCCTCAGCACGGCTCAGCCCATGCTTGTGTTAGAGGTCAGGACTCCGCACAGTGTCGTCCACTAACAGGAGAGCCCACCACCAACACCCAGCTCTGCTCTTTCCAGGCCCTGCCCTACGTCTGCCTGCTGATCGCCATGCTCTTCTTCATTTATGCCATCATCGGGATGCAGGTGAGCTGGTGTCCTGGGCCCGGCAGGGACGGCCGCGGCTCGTGCTGGCTCAGCCGCCGCAGCTTGTGGACTCAGCGCACTGCTTGCCCGCTGGCCTCAAGACTCCTCAGTCCCAGTTCAGTAGAATCATGGGGACTGGGAATGCACAGAGGCCCGTCGCCTGTCACACCTGCCGAGGCAGACAGCCTAGCTCCGGTCTGCAGACGTGGGTCTCCATCCCCCCACCCAGATGTTTGGGCCACGTTGCTGACCTGCAGACAGTACACGGCAAAAAGCACACACTGGGCTTAGCCAGAGGGCTGACGCGGCGCCATCCATTCCTCAGGGTCGTGGGTGTCTTGACGTGGCCTCTCAGGTCAGGCGGCTGTCTCTCCTGTGTGTCTGGGCTAGGTCGAGACTGGCAGAGGCCCCCTCTAGGAACAACTGACAGGTACTGGCAGCCGGTCCCCTCCTGGGGAGAGGCAGGAGCCTCGCCCCGCCTGCTCCCTGTCTCAAAGGCCTCGGGGTGCCAGCACACACTATGGTGCCACAGCCCAGGTCGCTGCCCTGGATTTTTGTGCAGGCATCTGCAACCCTACGTTAGGGGCCAGGGTCCTAAAGGCAGCAACCGTCCATGGCGTGTGAGTGACAGAGTGACCAGTAGGCTGCCTGCTTGTCTTGGGAAAGACTGACCATCCGCCCTGGAGTGACGGAGTCGCAGGGACCGTGCTGCACGGCCTCGCGTGGTCAGGCGGCTGGCGGCCTTCGCGCCCTGCCTGCCTTCTCATAGCGTCTGCCTAGCCCAGGTGTCTCTGCAAGCCCCTTCTCCCTGCTCCTCTCTCACCTTAACGTGACCTCATCCTTGCTCTGTCTGACCACATCTATGGGAGGGTCTTATTCCTCAAAACTACTACAGAATGCCAGGCCTGAGCAGTGGTGTGTGCTCCTTCCTGGAGATGTTCCGGAAGATTCCGGTGGTGTCAGCCGTGCGGGCAGTGGAATTGCTGCTGTGACTTCTGAGCCCCTCCCGACTCAGAAATATTTGGTTCTAGAATCAAAATATCAACAGCCAAATAAAGACTGGTCAGATTCGGCTCTTTCCCTCTGCTACGTGAGCAGGATGGGTGAGGATGCGCCATGTTCAGCGCTGGCTGCTGTGCCCGCGACACCGCACTCGCCTGTGCTTGGATTCCTTGGTGTGCTGGAGACTGTGGATGTGTGTGCGTGTGTGTGTGTGTGTGCGTGTGCGTGCAGGGACGGGAGGGAGCCTGGGAGGTTGTGGCTGAGGTTTCCAGCGGGGATGTCGAAGTCTTCTTGGTGCGTTGTCTTTCCTCTGGGGGCTTGGTGAGGTGAAGCCACGTGGAAAGGGCTTGGGTTCTGAGACAGCCGGCGGGGAGCTGGGACTTCCGCTCGCTTCTGTGTGAAGCACAGCCGCTGACAGCGCCTCACACACCCAGACAGGCAGACCCAAGTATTTCTTTGGCCCTTCAGCGAGAGGTGGGAGCCATCCAGTCCTGACATTTTATTCCCCTTAGACCTCCTGGAAAGCCCGTGCTCATAACCCAGAGACGTGACTTGGGGTCAGTGGGCCATCCCCGGGCTGCTGTAAGCCTGGCTCGTTCCCCAGACGGCTTCCAGCAGCCACACTAAGCAGAGACGGGGGACTGAGCACGAGCTTTTCCAGGAACGTGAACGGCAGCAGTTACTACGACCTTCTGAAGGCCTCTAGTAGAAGGCTTGGCAGTAAGAGCCGGGGCCACCAGGCGGGGGGGGGTGGGGGGTGCGGCAAGGACCCAGGGCTCCCACTGCTGGGGTGAGGTGTTCCGCCCCGGCTCAGCCCTAGAGGAGCTGTGCAGTCGCCCAGTCAGTGAACCTCTGACAGCCACTGCCAGGACGGGGCAGCCAGTGTGGACGGTCCACAGGCGTCGGCTGTGGTAAAGCCGTGTGATGGCCACCAAGACTGACCTCAGCCTCACCCCTGAGGGCACTGAGAGGCTAAAAGAAAAACAAAAGATATTGAAAGGCTCCCTTCCCAAAATCTGAAAGCTTCCTTAGAAAACACTCGGCTTTTTCCCCTGACTACTGCACAGACTGTGTGGACACGGTGTGTCCCCAGCTGGCTCACGGCTGCGCGGACCTGTGTGTGGACACAGTGTGTCTCCGGCTGGCTCACGGCTGCGCGGACCTGTGTGTGGACACGGTGTGTCCCTGGCTGACTCACGGCTGCACGGACCTGTGTGTGGACACGGTGTGTCCCTGGCTGGCTCACAGTAGGTTGGGGGATTGGCAAACCCCAGACAACCACAGGTGATGATGGGTCCAGAAGTCCTAGGGGAGAAGAGCTCGAGAGTGGGATTCTGGGGAAAGATGTGCTTGCAGGCTGAGGGTGCCGGAGAGCTGCACCCACGTGCCATCACCAGGACGCGGCGCCATCCCTTGTGCTCCTTGTCACTTTAGGGCCTCTCCCTTTTCTGTTCTTCCTGACTGCTGTCTAACTTGCCACCTGCACCCTACTGAGAGGCAGGTGGTGTCTTGCTGGGAGCAAGCTTCCAAGCAACTGCGGTGGGCAGACCAAGTTCCTCCAGTGTGTGTTCCCAGCACATGAGGGGCGTTTGCACCTGTGAGGGAAAGTGCAGCAGGTTACACGTGGACTGAGCTTTGCCTCAGTGGCTGCAGAAGTGACCCAGGCACAGGTGGCGCAGGCCGTGCCTTGTGAGGGAGGTCGGGGCTGGGGAGAGGGTGCCTGGGAGGGGGCTCTGGGCAGCACTACATGCGTGGCACGGGTCAGATGTCAGCTGGCTGCCTCGTCTCTGAACTCACACCAGGCCACATTCTAAGGCTTACTCTGGAGCCAGCTCTGTCCCAAACCATTTCTCTTTCCTCTCCAAGTACCCACCTGTTCTGACCTCTCCGTCCTATTTTCCTGGGCTCTGTTTTCGCTCATGAGTATCAAGTTGCTTTGATGTGAGATTCGGGTCTCTTAGATGATGTGCATGGGGTGCTGCAAAGGTTCACAGAGAATGGAGTTACAAGATTATGTTGCTGCAAGAATGCTTTGAAATCCATGAATATAAGAAGTCTTCAAAAAGTTCCTGAGATACGTGTCTCATCAAAGTACAAAATGGGCATGAGTCAGAATTCCTGCATCGACATAAAGTCAGGCTTGTTTTCCTGGGGCTTCCTAAAGTACACGAAGCCCCCTCGTGCATGCTTGTGGATGCTGTGTCCGGGGCGTGGCCTCTGGAGGAAGCGCATCTGAGGAGGTGGGATTGCTTCTCTGGCCCAGGCCGTGAACAGCCCTGCACACACAGACGCCGCCATCCTCGGATCCTGAGTCCAACCCCTGCCGTGGGAGCCGGTGTGTCCCCAGCTGGCTCACGGCTGCACGGACCTGTGTGTGGACACGGTGTGTCCCAGGCTGGCTCACAGTTAGGCCCCGGGGACGGGGGCTGTGGGAATAAGACCACTGTGTGCAGACAGAATTGCCATGACGGGGACAGGGACTGCTCCCGCAGAGTGGGCTGAGCTCCTGGGCTTGTCGGGAGGCAGGCACGGGCTCCAGCAGCCCGCAGTGGTGTCCAGCTCCCACTCAGCCCCGTGACATCCCTGCCGTCTGTGGTTTTCTTGCCAAGGTCTTCGGAAACATCAGACTAGATGAAGAGAGCCACATCAACCGGCACAACAACTTCCGCAGTTTCTTCGGGTCCCTCATGTTGCTCTTCAGGTACCTGCTGTGGGCCGACTGTGCGGTGGCCGAACTGTAGCCTTCCGAGTGGGGGAGGGCCTGCGTGACCCTCCTGCCACTCCCTTTGTTCCTCTGTCCCGTGTCCTCTGCATGCAGGGGACACTGCCCCAGGGACAGAGACGTGGAAAGTCCCACCAGTGCCTGCTCCAGAGGGCGGCACGGTGGGCGAGGGCAGTCGCCTGTGGATGCAGCCCTGTGGCCAGGCTGCTGAGTCCAGGAGTGGCCCCCCCCACTGGCCGTGGGTGGTGGCAGAATCCAGGACAGACCCTGGGGATGCTCAGCACTCGGAAAGGGTGGGGTCGTGTGCGGGCAGGAGCTGTGGGGCAGAGAGGGGTGGGCCTGCTGCTGCCATTGACCAGGCACTCTGGGGCCCAGGAGTGCCACGGGGGAGGCCTGGCAGGAGATCATGCTGTCGTGCCTGGGGGAGAAGGGCTGTGAGCCGGACACCACCGCGCCCTCCGGCCAGCAGGAGAGTGAGCGCTGCGGCACTGACCTCGCCTACGTCTACTTTGTCTCCTTCATCTTCTTCTGCTCCTTCCTGGTGAGTAACCCGGCTGTGGCCATCCCCACCCAGGCCCCTGCACAGGGGATGCCCGTGGCTGCCTCCAGCCTTAGCCGCGGCTGCTGCTGGGCAGGGCCCATCCGGGACGGCCCGTGGGAAATACGCTTTCTCGTGCCCTGGGCGTCACGAGTTGGGCTGAGGGGACCTTAACTCTGGGAGGTTTCTGAACCGTGTGTGAAAAGAGTGTAAGGTGAGAACCTGTAGGCGTGCCCTGGGTGTGACCGCCTCCCGGAGAGGAGGCCAGAAGGCCCAAGTGCCTTCTCCAGTCAACGCCGGCATCCCAAGCTCCCCTCTGTGACACAGGGCACAGACAGCACAGACAGGTGAGGCATGATCCTGGCCACCCAGGTGCCCTCAGCTCAGCCTCGCTGCTGATGCCCCGTCTGCACAGCAGACCACAGTGTGGTACAGCTCAGTGGCCAGCATCATGGCAGTGTAGGAAAACGTGGCTGCCTCTTCAGGGTGGTCCCAGGGGCCAAATCGTCGCAGCTTTCTGGCTTTTGGGGGGAGGGAGCAGCTGGCAACTGGACTGCCCCATTGCATCAGCCTCAGCTGGGGTGGCGCTTGCCTGGTTGGAGTCCATCGAACAGGGGCACAGATGACTGGATGAGGCAGGCGTGTATACCGTGAGCTGACACGCGTGCCAGTTCTGTGGTGAGACATGTAATGTGACAGCTGACGGGAAACTCGGGACACCTCTGCTGGCAGTTGTAACTTCATTCATTCCCAACATCACATTTTTACTGAGTGACTAGGAAAAGGCTGGCGCTGAGCAAGGCCCATCCCCAGTCACCACAGTCGTGGGGGCACTCACTGACAGTGCAAAACAGACCGGCATGGAGGCCTCGGTTTTACCTTGCGTGGTTTAAGTTCTTCATGAGGAAATAAAAGAACTCAAGGCAGCCATGCCACGACTGGGGATGGGTGGGTGCTGCTCTTCAGGCTGATGGCCCAGGACGGCCTGGCTGTGCCAGCCCCTCACGGTGTCCACTGCAGAGCTCCGTGCACACGTGTGGCTCTCAGTGGTGGCCTGACACCTCCAGAAGGCGGGAGAGCACCCAGGACAGGAACCAGGTGTGAACACGCACCACATGAGGCACAGATGCCAAGTGGTGGTGGGGACAGCTTCCATTGGAGTTAGTATGCCAAGGAGTGTGTTCTCCATGGCTCCCATCGCAGAGACAGAGGCTCGCGCCCGGGGGCGATGGAAACCCCCTCGTGTGGGCTCGCCCGGGAGGGACACTGGGTCCCTGCACGTGGAGGAGGGCTGGAGGCAGGCCCAGCTGGCAGCCGTGGCCTGCGGAGCAGCTAGGGAGTGCCCCTCTGCCCCATGCTTCCTGGTGGGGGCAGGGTGCTGGCTGCTAGGTTGTGCCACAGGTCTAGAACAATCCAGACCAGTAGGGAGCTTGAAACCAGGTGATGGTTAACTCTAGGGGTCAACCTGACCAGATTAAGTAGAAACCTGGAAAAGCATTTTGGGTGTGTCTGTGTGGGTGTCTCCAGCTAAGCCCTGTGAGTCTGAGTGGACGGTGATTCCGTGACTACACAGAGAGGAGAGGCGGTGACGCCTGCACAATGACCCCAAGTCCCCATTCAGCAGGGACCCTGGCCTTACCGACCTGGGGGCTCTCGTCTGCCTGGCGCCTGTTTGCCTGTGAACTCAGCACTGCCCCCTACCTCACCCCCAGATGCTCAACCTGTTCGTAGCCGTCATCATGGACAACTTTGAGTACCTGACGCGGGACTCCTCCATCCTGGGGCCGCACCACCTGGACGAGTTCGTGCGTGTCTGGGCAGAGTATGACCGGGCCGCATGGTATGTCTGCCGCACGGCTGCCCCGGGGCCCAGAGTTCTCAGGGAAGAGGCTGGGATCAGAGCTGCCAAAACGTGTGCCTGCTCCAGGAGGGGAGGTGCTTCCTGCGGGCCATCGGCCTCTGGCCCAACCCCGGAGCCCCGGCTTCTCCGATGCCGATCCCACCCCACAGGCCTCGCCCCACCCCTGTGGCCCAGGACCCCTCTCTTCCTTGCTGGGGGACTCTGGTGAGGGCTTTTCAGGCTGGGACTTTCTCGGGTTCCTCTCCATCCACGCCACAGGGACGCTGGAGGGAACTCTGAGGTGTGTCCTAGTCTGAGGTGCACCCTAGAAACCGGCTGCTCTCCCAGCCCTTCCCTCAGAGCCATGTGCAGGGACCCCTTTCCTGCCCAGTGCTCCTGGGGTGTGGCACCTCGGAGGCATTAGGCAGGGCTAGCTCAGAGACTCGGCGTGTGCACCGTCTGCAGCCACGGTCACACAAGGAAGAGGTGACCACGTGTGCCGGGTGGTGTGGCCCTCAGGGTGAAACACCACCAAAGCATCTCACTCTCAAGAGTGTCACTGTCTGAACAATGACAGGGTGAGGGGGCTACAGGTGCTCATCAACCTACCCACTCTGGTCCCCTCAGAAAACACAAGAAATGCCACTACCTCTCCAGGACAGGCAGATTGCGCCCCCTGGAGCCCTCCCCCACATGGCCTCCCTGGGAAGCTAGGACTTGGGTCACACAGGGCCTGAGCCGAGAAGAGTGCCCAGGGTCCCAGGCGGCTCTCGGCCCTCGCAGGTGTGAGGGCACACACACCAAGGCACCGTGGGACTGTTGCTGTAGTTGACCAAGTGGAAATGCAACTTGAGTCAGGGACCGACGACTGTGTCTGGCCAGGCCATCGGAACCCAGGACGGGGCTCTGGAGTCACCTGAGAGAACACGCACGTCCCTGGGCCTCACCTGGGTGCTGGTGCCTCCCCTCTTCCCCGGAGGACTGATCCTGAGAGAAGAGACCAGGAGAGTATTGGCTGCTGCCTGCCATGCAGGTCACAGAGCGACCCCTGCTGGTCACGGTGGGCTTGGTGTCTTCAAAAGAGGGGTCAGCCAGGACCAGCAGAACAGAACCAGCGTCGCCAGGATAGGTGCACGCAGGAAGCACAATAAAGCACGCATGGTTAGATTGCCTCCTCTCACAGCTCTCGGAGCCGGGAAGGGTGGCCCTGGGTGTAGCACCGCCTGGCACAGAGCTCATGAGCTGGCCATTTCAGTGGAGACCGTGGGAACATGGTTGGGCTGTTGACAGCAAGTCCTTGGTGACCTGTTACTCTGGGAGCCAGAGCCCTCTGGCAGGTTTGCAGGAGAGGCCGCCTTGTCCTGGAGCCCTGGCTGAGTCTGGGGCAGTGTCCATGGCTCCCTCCCGGGCCACTCTCTGAACAAGGTCCCGGCAGGTGTCCAGCAGAGCCCCCCACTGCTCGCTCCCTAACCTGGCAGGAGGTTTGCCTTTCACTGTCAGCAGAAAGATGCTGGCCTCCCACTGCCCCTGCCTGGGAAGAGGAGCTGGCAGGGCTCCCGCTGCCCGTTGCAGGGACCTCAGCAGTCGGCTCCTTCGGCACTGGCTGGGCCGTGTGCTCCGGCGAGGTGGCGGCTCTCAGCCTGTCCGGGTCTGGCTTTCCCCTGCCTCCTGCGGCCGTCCTGGCGGTGGCGATGCTGGGGTCGTGGCCACCCTCTCGGAGGGTCCTGATTAATCCCTGTGCTTCCTTTGCAGCGGCAGGCTCCCGTATAAGGATATGTACAAATTAGTGCGGGCGATCTCGCCGCCTCTGGGCCTGGGAGAGAACTGCCCCTACAGGGTGGCTTGCAAGGTTTGCCTCCCGGTCCCCGGCCACGACTGCGGGGGGCGCGGCCCCCAACCCTCTTCCATCCTCTGCTCACCACGCTGTGCACATGAGGGAACCCTCATGTTGCTTTCCTTTGAGTTTAAAGAGGCCCAAAGCCTCCCCCAAACCAACAGCTGTTAGGTCAGGGAGAAAGGCCCTTGTTTGGGGGAGGGGGTACAGGGAAGGTGGGCCTGACGTAGCCGCACGCGCCCTCCTCCCTCGCTGGGCCAGGGACGCCTGCGGTGGCTGCCAGGCGCCGGCCTGGCCCTCCTGGCACCTCCAGGTGTGGCTCCAGGCTCTGCACCCTCCCAGCTGCTTAGGAAAGCTGTGGGTCAACAGGAGGCGAGAGGGGCCAGCAGCCAGAGGCGCAGATCTGGGGCCGATCTCTTGGTGCAGTCTAGGGTGCCCCTTGGGGACTTCCCGCTGCCCTGTGTCTCTGCAGGAGCCCCGTCTCAGGCCGAGCCTACCAGGTGCAGATCTGCCCTGGGGGCCGCTGCTGAAACTCTTTAAACTCACCTCGGGGGAGCTGCAGCCGCATGCGGGCGCTGGGGCAGCATGGCACGCCGGCGCCCCGCTCCTCCTGGCCATCTCCCCCGCCCAGCATGTCGGCCCTGGGGCCTCTGGGGAGAGCGCTCTCATCCTCAGAGCCAGGTGGAAGCCACAGCCGCCCCTGACTGACCACCACCCGCCACCTCCACCTCGAGCCGCCGCCTCCTGCCGCACACACCCCCGCGGGGATACACAGCGCTCCCCCAGGGGAGGCCCACCCCTGGGAGTGCCGTCTATCCGGTTTATACCGCTCGCCCACGGCCCTGGGGATGGGAAACAGCTGGCACTGTGTGGGTGGTGGGGCGCTGGGGTGGTGCCAGTGGGGGAGCAGTGAGGCTTCTGCCTGCTCCCGGGTCTGCGGGGCGGGGCGAGCTATAAACCGCACCAGGACCAGCCACCTCCAGCCTGCCTGAATAACAGGTCTCCTGTTCTTCTCCCGTTTGTCCGTCTTGTTTCTTCTCTCCTCCTGTTTTCTGTATATCTCGTTTGTTCTGTTCTGCTCTGGGAATGCTCTCCTCTCCCTCTGCATCCCCCCACCTCCCGCCCCATCCCGCCCCACCCCTGCCCACGCAGTGGCCGCATCCATTACACTGAGATGTACGAAATGCTGACTCTCATGTCGCCGCCGCTAGGCCTCGGCAAGAGATGCCCCTCCAAAGTGGCATATAAGGTAGAGCACCCCCTTCCTTCCTCTCTGGCTGGAGCCCGCAGGACAGGGGCAGTGCTGGGCCAGGGCGGGCGGGGGAGGGGAGGAGGAGACCCCCAGAGGCAGGAGCCCAGCACTGCTGAGGCCGGCTGCAGGAAGCACAGGCCTCCTGTGCAGCTGCGTCCACAGCTGTGGCCTGCGTGGAAGGTGCATTTCCTCTGGGGGGAGCGGAACGTCTGCCCGTAGCAGCACAGCTCGCAGAGCTCAGGGAAAGGATCCTGCGGCTGAGCGTGGCACCAGCACACATCTGTAGGAGGAGGAGGAGCAGCTGGATCCCAGGGCGGCTGAGGAGTGCAGCTCCCTCCCCCTGCAGCCCGCCTGCCCTTGCTCTGAGAGCCCTGAGCCCTGAGGCACAGGAGCTGACTCAGCAGGGAGTGTGCCTGGCCCCCCACCGCCCTCAGGTGCTGTCAGCCAGGGCTGAGGTGTGCTCCACACCCTGCAGATGCTGTAGAGCTGCACCAAGCAGCAGCAGCAGCCCCTCAGGGTCTAGGCACACAGCACAGTCCCGGGACCCCCCTGGAGAACATGGCAGTCCCTCAGGGTCTAGGCACACAGCACAGTCCCGGGACCCCCCTGGAGAACATGGCAGCCCCTCAGGGTTTAGGCACACAGCACAGTCCCGGGACCCCCCTGGAGAACATGGCAGCCCCTCAGGGTCTAGGCACACAGCACAGTCCCGGGACCCCCCTGGAGAACATGGCAGCCCCTCAGGGTCTAGGCACACAGCACAGTCCCGGGACCCCTCTGGAGGAGCTTGAGGAAGGCAGAGAGGACCCTGTGCCACACAGGGAGCCTCCTGCACCCACACAGATGTCCTAGAGGCACACTGGCCGGGGGGCTCTCCCGCAGGGCTCCAGGGAGCACCTCTCTGGGACGTGACACCAGGGACCCTCGCCCGCCCCAGCATGCGGCTCCATGCAGGGCTGCCATCCCCTTGTCCACGGCAGCCACATCCACAGGTCCCAGGCCCTGGGACGCGGCCCCAAGTTCTTGGCCTTTTGGGAGGAAACTCACTGAGGAAGGAGAGTAGCAGAGGTTGAAGGGAGTCAGGAACTGCCAAAGCCACTGCTCTCTAGGCCGTGGACTTGGCCATTTCAGTCAGACCTCCCCGTGGGCGAGGGGACAGGGCCTGCCCACCTGCTGCTGCCTGGGCCCTCGCGCTCTCCTGCCCTCCCCACCCCCGAGCCTGTGTGCACCCCTCCCGCCCTCCCCGCTCTGCCTCTTCCCAGGACCATGCATGCTCGGTCTGGGCTGGCAAATCCTACATCTGCAAGGCTCAAAAGGGGCCACTAGGACGCCTCCCTCGCGTCAGATGAGCCAAGCCCGTCCCCGGCCGCCTTCCAGCTGCTGTCAGGCTGTGGAAGCACCGGAGACAGGGGCTGGAGCCACCTCCCAGAGCTGGCTCCCTCCCCTGAGAAGTGGCTTCAGGAACATGCGGGAGAGGAGAGGGACGGGATCCTCACCCCTTGTGTCTGCGTGGGGCCGCGCCTTCCCTCCCACCTCACCGAGCTGCTCTCGCTGCTGTTTGCTGCTGTTTCTTCTCTCGCAGAGGTTGGTGCTGATGAACATGCCGGTGGCCGAGGACATGACGGTCCACTTCACGTCCACGCTCATGGCCCTGATCCGCACAGCCCTGGACATCAAGATTGCCAAAGGTAAGCAGGGGCCTGGGGGCTGCAGAGCGGCTCACCCTGACCGCTGCCCCCGAGGACTCCACGGTGCTGTGACCCGGAAACCAGGCGTTAGGGGCCTGGCCTCGTCCGCAGGGAGTGCATGCTGTGCCAACACCCACACGGGCACCAGGCCTCCTGTCCTCACGTGGCCACTCTCCTCCATCCTGGGTGTCTCCTTGGGGGACCTGACCAGTGTCCCCTTAAAATCCAGCCAGCAGGATGGCTCACGCCAGCCCACTGCGTTCCTTCTCTGACCTGTGAGACCAGCAAGGAAGCCACTGTGGCCTCCGTGAGAAGCACTGAGCTGTCGCCGCCGCGTTCTGCTTCCTTGGGCAGAAAGACCCCAGCCGGGCCTGCACAGCCCCTGGTGCCGAGAACCCCTCCCACAGGTGCCGTGCCCCCTGCTGTGGCCCGAGTTCCCCGCCTCTGACACACTGCCCTTGTGACCGCAGGGGGTGCAGACCGGCAACAGCTGGACTCAGAGCTGCAGAAGGAGACCCTGGCCATCTGGCCCCACCTGTCCCAGAAGATGCTGGACCTGCTGGTGCCCATGCCCAAAGGTGGGGGCCCAGCACACCAAGGGAGAGCCGGAGGTTAATGGTGGCAGTTTTAGGATGGGGCCGTGTGGGGAGGGGCACCACACCCCCTGCAAACTCACAAGACAGGTGGTGGGTGCTCGGACACGGGAGTCTGCACGGGGAGCAGGCGATGCTCACTGGCGCTGCCGCCCTGGGCTTAGGCCTGCGCTGTCTTCAGAGCCGGGCACACGGGAGCCTGCCAGCTGCCAGCCCTTAATGTAGCACCACCCTACATGTCTGCTTTTAGCCTCTGACCTGACTGTGGGCAAAATCTACGCAGCGATGATGATCATGGACTATTACAAACAGAGCAAGGTGAAGAAGCAGAGGCGGCAGCTGGAGGAGCAGGTGAGGGGCCGGGGCCAGACCAAGGGCTGGCACCTGACACGGTGTCAGTCGTGCGCTGAGTTCTGCCTGTGGGTCCCACCAAGTCACGGCCCCCTTTGTTCCCTTTCACACAGAAAAACGCACCCATGTTCCAGCGCATGGAGCCCTCCTCTCTGCCCCAGGAAATCATCGCCAACGCCAAGGCCCTGCCCTGCCTCCCGCAGGGCCCCCCTGCAGGCCTGTGAGTAGAGCCAGACTCCTCACCCGTGTGGCGGGCGGAGTGTCCCCGGGGTGGCTGTCCAGCAGGGGTCTGAGAAAAGCAAACAGGTGTGTCCAGGTGGCCGCTGCAAAGAGCAGGAGCCCCGTGAAGGGGAGGTGGAGGGGGCTGCAGCGCCGTGCTGTCGCAAGGAGGCCGTCGCCCTCCACCTGCCCCTTGTCACCAGCTCACCCTGGCGCGTGCACTGATGTCCCGAGATGCAACTGAGAGCTCGTATGTACATACTGCCGGAAGCCGTGTGGTTATGGTGGCGAAACTGGGATCTGTTGTTTCTGACCCTGTGTCTCTACTGCATTGAGTTATCCTGATGAGAAAAGGGGTTTTAGGTTCAAAAAAATAACACAGCAGAGCCAAGCCCCAGCCTGGCCCCAGCGTCTGCTTCTCACACGACGTTACCTCCCTGCCAGCCCGGCCCCTGAGGGCCTGTGTCACCCCCCACCCCCCAGGGCGTGTGGATCTTTGAGGTGGCTTGGTGCTCTGAGTTCTTGGGGGAACCAGTGTCGCCACCTGGCACAGCTCAGGCAATTGTGGGGAGCTGCTCCATGAGCGGGGGGCCGAGGCTGTGGGCCTCCACTGGCTGAGCTCACGGGACAGGCTCATGCCCTTCTCACGGGTCCTTGTTGAAGAGAGGGGGACCGCTTCCTCTCCACCCACACCCGTGCCACCTTCCGCAGTCTGCTGTGCAGGCCGCCCACCACGGGGTCACTCTGACTTCATCCACCCCAAGTTTTCCCCGAGTTCTGGCTCGGGCGCAGGGGGGCGGGGGGCACGTGCAGGGGCAGCCCCTCCCCCAGGCCAGAACTGGGGGGCCTCCTCGGGGAGGCGAGCTGACCAGAGTAGGGCAAGAGACAAGTCCTGTGCCTCGGGCACGTGGGCAGACCTGTGCTGGGACAGAGGCGGAGGGGCAGGCGTGGTGCTGTAAGGACGGCAGCGACGGAGGAATCGGAGGTGACCTTTGCCTTTCCGGACTGAGCCTGAAACGGGCGCTGGAGGAACAGGCTGACTGCAGGCCACCGCGTCCAGGCCAGCCCCAGGGAGATGGAGGGTGCTCTGGGCCAGCGTGCAGAGCGGGGAAAGACAGCTCTTCAGTGTGTCAGCTGCAGTTCTGGGAACACTGGCCCAGAGAGCACAGCGGAGGCAGAAACCAGAGGTTCCTAAGGAGGTGCTGTTCATCCTGAAATCCCTCCCCTGCCCTTGCATTCCCAGGCAATGCAGGCAGACACCCTGAACCGGGGGGCACCCGTGTCTGAGCCTCGAGGCCAGAAGGGGCCTGGGGGTGGCACCAGCTCATTCAGGGTTCTGGACTTCAGCCTGAAGATGGCGAGAGGCCCAGCAAGGTTTCTGAAGCAGGGCAGTTGCCTGGGTTCGAGGTGTACGACTCAGGGGCTCCTCAAGCCCACAAGTGGGTGCACCAGGAACGAGGCTGACCCCTGAGCAGGCACTGTGGCTGTTGGCTGTGGGGAGCCAGTGCTGGCCTCCCTGGCAACCAGGTGGTCTCTGCTAGCCTCACATCTCCCCGCTGTGTGAATCGACACAGGGCACCTGCTGCCAGCAGCTTCTAAGGCGCGGGCCGTCCGCTCATGCCTCCAGCTTCCTGCTGGGTACAGAGTCGTCTGCAGGAGACCCAACTGCAGGCCAGCTTCCCCCTTTCCCCCGCCACACCGCCAGCCTCAGCCCTGACCCCCGTGCCCCCAGCCCAGAAGCCCACGCTGCATTCTGGAGCAGGCTTAGGGGTCACAGCCACTGTGCGGGTGGCAGTGGATGCGCCCAGGGAACAGCCTCAAGTGGGTCCCCTGGGATGGGAGCTGCCACCAGCCCAGGGTCTGCCTCTCCTTGGCACCTCTCTGAGCTATCTGCTGGGCCCACAGTTGTGGGCAGTCCTCCATAAATGTTCAGCAAACCAAGTGGGACTGAATTGTTGGGCTGACGGGGGATGTCACTGAGGTGGGAGTTTGTGGGAAAACACGGTTTAGACTGTACCACTTTGCTGTGCCCTGCCGGGGGTGCTGAGCGGGACCAGGCTCTGTCTGGCGCTGGTCTCTCGCAGGGCTCCGCTGACAGGGTGCTCTTGCTGCAGAGACATGAATGGTATCAGGTGCAGGCGAGAGACAGCAGCTCTGCATTCCCTTGTTTCTTAAAAAAGCTGTCGGGGGGGGGGGGGGGGCTTACAGGGAGCCCGGGGCTGTCACTCACCCCCACTTCAACTTGGCTTTCAGGGGTGGCCGGAGTGGATGCCCTGCGATGAGCCCGCTCTCCCCACAGATCTTCCAGCTGACCTGCATGGACCCGGCAGACGACGACGGGCAGTTCCAGGAGCAGCGATCTCTGGTGAATGATCTCGAAGCCCCTCCTCTCAGCCACAGGCAGTCAGGAAAGCTCTCTCCTGGCCCCTGCTGGGGCCCCTCCCTGCCTCAGGCCACGTCCTCCTGGTCTGTGCCCCTGGGCAGGCCGCAAAGGGAGCTTCCGGGTGAACCCTTGGGGTTCTGGCTCCATGTAATGGCATGGCCGCTGCCAGTGGCCACCTCTCAAAGCCATGGTCACGAGCAAGAGTGACTGGAGAGCTGCCCTCTGGGGAGCCTCACGGCCACCCTTCTCCAAGGTCAAACGGTTCCCGAGGCCCCACAGCCACCTTCTGAGCCCGAGACCTTACCTCAGGAAGAGCAAGTAAAGCCTGCAGGAGAGAAGGCAGCGTGGCGCGCGGGCTTCTCACAGAGCCGATGTGCCTCCCGGTGCAGCGAGGCGCGCGGGCTTCTCACAGAGCCGATGTGCCTCCCGGTGCAGCGAGGCGCGCGGGCTTCTCACAGAGCCGATGTGCCTCCCGGCGCAGGGTGGCGTTCAGGCTTGGAGCCGAGATGTGACTCCCGGCACAGCATGGCGCACGGGCTTCTCACAGAGCCGGCACAGAGCTGGCGCATTGCACTGGCCGCTGCTGCTGGCTCAGGTCCTCCGTGGTGGGAACCTGCGAGTCGTGGCTCACGTGGAGGCAGGCCTGCAGGCTTCAAGGTTCAGCCGCGGCCCTGGGGGCTGCTGTGGGAGGGGCTACAGTGATGTGCGGGAACAGGTGTCCCTGGGGTGCGCACTCCCAGGTGAGGGGGCGACCGCCACGCAGGTAGGGATTCGGGGTAGCTCCCTGGACCCCACACCAAGGCCAGGGTGCCATCACTACAGACCTTTGATTCTTAAGAGCGCGCTGGGTGTCTCGCAGCTGCTGGTGGACAACGTGTGTGGCGGGAACACTTGCTCGTTGGTGTCATTGTCACTGCGCCAGAGCTGTGTGGCTGTGTGTCCATCTCGTTGTCGGTTCCCGTGTCTGTGACTCAGCAGGTGTCGCCCCGTGAGTGGGGACTTGTGTACGTGGAGTGTCTCGCCCCACCTCTGACACCTGTGCCCGGCAGTGTCGTCACCATGTCTGCCGCTCCCCTGAGCAGTGCCCAAGGCAGCTCTGCCCCTGATGCAGGGACACAGGCTCTGCACACAGCACACTGATGGCCACAGAGCTCTCCTGTCCGGCCTTCTCACACTTGGAGTGGCTCCAGCCCAGTACCACAGCCATCAGCCATGTGTGATTTATCCAAGTAAATAGAAAACCTCTCCTTAAATTTTTTTATTGGTTATCACAGGTTGTATAACATTTGGATATACGAGGCTAAAGAGAGATTTCCCTTTTCTAATGTGGGGCACCCAGAGGTATGAGGGGCTTGTGCCACATTTCTCAAGACTGCTCACATGCACATCCTGAGAGCCGCGGAGCCCACGGGAGGCGAGAGGCCGTCCCCCGAGCGTGGCTGTGTCTGTTTCAGGAGCCAGAGGTTAGTGCGTTAGAAACCGTGCAGTCTGCTAACCGTGGCACCCGCCTTCCTCCGGACACCCAGGAGCATGCGGGAGCTGGGAGGGCCTCCTCCATGCCGCGTCTGACTGTGGACCCCCAGGTAACCCTGCTCCCGTGGCGTCCCAGGGGCCTCAACTCGCCCCTGCCCCTCCTGTCGGCAGCAGGGGCGCTGGGCCTGGTATGGGAGAGCGGCCCCTGGCCTCCTGGCCTGGGGCATGGGCCAGGCTTCCCCCAGCACCTGTGCCGCCACACAGCTCTGTCACCGTCTGTCCCAGCAGTGCAGGCCACGGCTTGTTTCGTCGTCTGTTTCCTGGCTTCTTGTTTCTGTCTGTCAGTCTCACATCAGGTTTTGACAGAGACAAGAAGTTTCTGTGGCTGTTTGAACATCTGTGGTAAAAACCAAAATGCTGGTTGAGGAGGCAGGCAAGGGTGGGCGTTGGAAAGAGGCGCCAGAACTGTAGGTGCCACCAGGCTCCGGCCCTGCTGCCGCCCTCGCGGGTCCCAGCCCCCGGGGCAGGTGGCTCCGGTCCACGTGTGGCCGACTCCCAGGAGGTCACGGCTCGCCGCCCTCAGTGGCTGACGCAGACCTCGCTCCCAGGTGGTGACAGACCCGGGCTCGATGAGACGCTCCTTCTCCACCATCCGGGATAAGCGCTCCAGCTCCTCCTGGCTCGAGGAGTTCTCCATGGAGAGGAGCAGCGACAACACCTACAAGTCCCGGCGCCGCAGCTACCACTCGTCTCTGCGGCTGTCGGCGCACCGCCTCAACTCGGACTCGGGTGAGGCGGCCATGGCAGGAGCACATAAAGATGGGGACGGTGGATACCCACACCCCGGGTTCCGGGTCGGCCCCATCCCAGAGCAGCCCAAAGCCCTCAAAGGCCACCAGGAGGCTGCCACAGGCCCATCCTCGGAGCACAGAACCCAGAGCCTCCCCCCCACCCCCCACAATGCAGGCCTCCAGCCGCCTCCTGCCAGAGGCACCAGCATGGAAAAGGCAGTGCGCGCCTGCCGTGCAGGGGGTGCCCCATCTCCCCCCAAGTGACCCCACATACAGGTCATGGACTCCCCGGCCACACCGCTGGAAGACTCACCAGAAGCAGCTGAGCCTCAGGCTCGCGGTGGGGGACAAGGCCCAGGGAGCCAGGGTTCCTCAGCCTTACCCTGCACGCCTCACGGCTCCGGGGGCTGGGACACGGTCTGTTTCCACGTGCACACAGCGCTGCCCCGGCTGCTCCCACGTGTCCACAGCACAGGCACCACCCTCATGACCAGCTACCTCCACCACACTGGGGATCAGGGATCAGTGTCTACACAGGGGACATAAACACGCAGTGCACAGCAGGTCCCGTTCCCCAGCTGGCACCTGACACGGGCTGACCGTAACCAGCGGCTGCTGTGTCTCCCAGGTCACAAGTCTGACACCCACCGTTCTGGGGGCAGAGAGCGGGGGCGGTCAAAGGAGCGGGAACATCTTCTGTCCGCCGACGTGTCCCGCTGCAGTTCTGAGGAACGAGGAGCCCAGGCGGACTGGGACTCCCCAGAGCGCCATCCATCCAGGTCCCCCAGCGAGGGCCGGTCACAGAGCCCCAGCAGACAGGTGAGCGTGGGCAGGGCAGCAGGTACAGGAGTGGGCCTGCGGCACCCCAGGTGATCCAAAAGAAAACCAGGTCCCCCAAGAAAGGCCCTGGAAAGGGTCTGGAGCCCCCTCCCGGCCGCCTCCCCACCCAGAGGCACAGAGCTCTTTGCGGGAGTTGGGGCGAGGGCGGCCCTTTAGCCAGAAGGGCTCCCTGGCCCCGTCGGGGGCCTCCGAGTCCAGAGACCCCCTCAGCCGAAATGAGCAGTGGGGAGGCCTGGGGCTGAGATGGGGCAGACGGGAAGGGGGCGTTTCACATCCAGCGGAACTGACTGGAGCCACCGCCCCAGGAGGGTAGAGGCCAAGTTCCCCAGCCCCTGAGCCGCCCCTAAAGGCCACAGCTGCTCCACCCCCACAGAGCCGTGGTGTGCTGGCCCGCGGCACTGCCCTGCCCTCTGCGTGAGTAGAGCTGGGGTCCAGCGCCCTCCATCTAACGGCCACCTCTGTCCTGTGCAGGGCACGGGTTCCCTGAGCGAGAGCTCCATTCCCTCCGTCTCGGACACCAGCACCCCCAGACACAGCCGCCGGCAGCTGCCGCCTGTCCCGCCGAAGCCACGGCCACTCCTCTCCTACAGTTCCCTGAAGCAGCAGCCCAGCAACTTCTCTCCACCAGCCGACGGGAGCCAGGGGGGCTCCCTGCTGGCCTCCCCGGCCCTGGAGAGCGCCCAGGTCGGCCTCCCTGAGTCCTCTGACTCCCCGCGCCGCGCCCAGGGCTCCCATGCCTCCCCCCAGCGCTACATCTCGGAGCCCTACCTGGCGCTGCACGAGGACTCCCACGCCTCGGACTGCGGCGAGGAGGAGACGCTCACCTTCGAGGCAGCAGTGGCCACCAGCCTCGGCCGCTCCAACACCATCGGCTCAGCCCCGCCCCTGCGGCACAGCTGGCAGATGCCCAATGGGCACTATCGGCGGCGCCGGCGTGGGGGGCCCGGGGCGGGCGCCCTGTGTGGCGCTGTGGGCGACCTGCTGAGTGACACTGAGGAGGACAAGTGCTAGAGGCCGCTCCCCTCCGATGCATGCTCCTGCCTCACTCGGAGAAAACCAAGCTGCATTGGGAAGCCAGTGCGGCCCGGGGGGGAGGAGGAGGGGGAGCAGGACACAGGCTGCGGAGCTGGGACGCAGGAGGGTGCAGGGGAGCCAGGCTCAGCCTGGAGCTCCAGTTCCCCTCGCAAGGCAGCGGTGGCTGTCTCTTTGCTGCGGAGAGAGGTGCAGGGACACGGGGGCTTATTCCCAGGGGAAGGGAGGGTCTGGCGGCTTCCCCTTGGCCCTTCCCGCTCTCCTAAGAGCAGTGGAGGGAGCTGGCTGGCCCGAGTCTGCGTGTGCTGCCCCAGGCAGCAGTGGGGACCGCAGGAGGAAGGTGTCCTCCTGCACCCGCACCAGGGCTGTGGCTGGCCTTGCCGAGACAGGCGCTGGATGCCAGGGCGGAGAGGCTGGTCTGGTGAGAAAAGCCATAGCCCGCTGCCCCACTGTGGCAGGGACAGCACAGGTGGAGCTGGGCAGGGGCCACCACGGTACTGCGGCTCTGGTGCAGGTGATGCAGGTGGTACCTGTGACTCCCTGTCACCCTGAGCTGCTCCAGGCATTGGCCAGGGGGCCCTGAGAGATTGGGGTAGTGTCCATGTGACGGGGCCACCTCCTGCCTCAAGGTCACCCCACGCTGCAGTTTGGGGGTGCTGAGCCAATTCCCTGCTGTTGCCCCAGGAGGGCAGGACCCACACCCGCTGCAGAGGCAGAAGAAGCTGGGATGGCTCAGGTGGTGGTCACGGAGGACACTGGGGTGGAGGCAGCCTGGGCCAGCACCTGGACCTGGCTCCTCTGAGCAGTGCAGGCCCTGTGCGCCTCCTGCCCTGCTGTGGTGAGATCTAGGCCTCTCCTAAGCCAGGCAGAGGTGGCGAGGAAGCGAGAAGCCATCAGGCGGAACCCAGATCCCCCCAGATCCTCGGGTGTGGGCAGGGCGTCCTTCCTGCCTGGATCCTCCGAGCGGGGAGGCTCTGAGGACCCAGAAAGCTCCATCCTCCAGGGCCCCTGCAGGGGAGCAGCCCAGCTGTTCCCCCTTCTGAAGCTGTGTTCCCTCCCAGCTGACCAGAAGGCAGGCCCAGCCGCGTGGCTGGAGAAACAATGGCTACCGTCTCACCCTCCCTGCCGCATGTGGCTGGAACCTCATGACCCACGGTCAGCCCCAAACCAAAGCAGCCACAGCGAGGTTTCTCCTGAGACCCCCCACCCCGCCCCGGCTTCTCATCACAGCAGGTGGTGCCTGGGCCAGCTGGGCCTCACTGTCTGCCAGGCGTCAGTTCTCCCTGGTGTGCACAGTGAGGAGGGGTCTGGGGAAAACGCAGCCCCTCCCCATAGCAGGAGACACGACACGGGCTGGTGTGGCAGTAGCCAGAGGTGGTTCTGGAGCTGCCTGCACACAGCCACGCGAGCTCCGGAACACCTGGACAGAGCCCCTGGTAGCACCTGGCTCTGCCTGGGACCAGGGCCTCCGTAGCTCCCTGCCCAAGAAGTCCACTCCTCTTTCCTGCCTGCACTGCCCCTGTGTAGCTGTGATCCCACAGCTGGCCAGGGCCTCCTTGGGCACCACCTGGTCCTCTGCTCCATCCACCCTCGCTGCCACGTCCTCCTGGCCATTAGGTCCGGAGCTTCCAGAGTTTCTGTCTGGACACGTGTGTGAAAGGCACACTGGGCCCCTCTGAGGTTGCTGACTCACACCCAGTCCCCGGCTAAGGTCCCCGCTCACCGTCTCAGAACAGCAAGGGCTGGAAGGGCCAGACGTCCCAGACTTAGGGCAGGGAATGGGGAGGCTGTGGGCCCGGCCAGCTGCCCTGGTTGGGGTAGGAGTGGGGGGGCTACTCATGTCCCCAGCTGCAGGTGAACGGGGGCAGCATTCCCCTCCCAGGTTAAGAGTTTCTCTCCCCCAACATGGCCAGAGACTGCCAGGGAAACCAGCGTCTCCCCGCCTTTGGCTGCATGTTAGCCTGGGACAGCCGAACCTGCACAGGCCATGCTCCGGGGTGGGCCTGGCTGCCTGCAGGGTGCTTACTGCAGGGGCAATGCCTGCCACTCACTGGGCAGGGAGCTGAGCCGTCTGAAATGTCTGCATTCTCTGGAAAAGCTCATGCTGGGGAGATTGGCCTCTTCTGACACTGTTGGAATAATCCTGTCTCCGCTGTTTATCCCATCCTGTTTCTAAAGCCCACTCTGGGTGTTTCAAGCTGGAGTCTGATCTCACCCCTGTTGTAGGATCGTGGTGAGTGTGTGTGTGGGGTGGACACACTCAGGAACTGCCACGAGCTTTTCTGTGACTCAAGGCCTGGGGCCAGTGTGTGCCAAGAAACCCAGTGGGGCCTTCCCCTGCCTGAGCCGTAGCCCCCTCCCTCATACCCAGTGTTGACTCCAGACAGGTTCCCTAGGGAAACAGACCCAGGTTTGGCTGACTTACCCTCTAAGTCTCCACCCTGAGATACTTAAGGGGCCATGACCCTGCCTGTCCATGCAGATGACCAGAGGTGATCCCTGGAGTAGTCCCTGCCTTCAGCACATTCTTAGTCTCTGGGCAGCCCAGTCCCCTCCCTGCCAGTACGGCGGTGCCCGACGGAGGACAGAGCATGGCCCTGGCTCCCTCTCCTTGAGCCTTCTGCATCCCACAGAGGTCAGACCAAGCCAGAGGGAGGTGCTGGAGCCTCAGGGCCCACAGGCGTGGGCCCCATCCTCTCCCAGGGGTTTCCCAGGAAGCCCTGCCGTGCAGCTTGCCTGGACACAGGGAGCAGGGTGGCTCTGGGGCTTCGCAGAAGGGCCCGCTGGTGTTCTGTGTCTGAATCTGCTGCTCTTTGGGAGGTCCCTCCACCCCGGGCAACAGTGGGAGGGCTGAGCCCCGGCTCCGGCTCTCCTGCCTGGCAGTCGGCCTCTGGCCCATGAAAAGCTGCCCCAAAGTACGCTGAGCTTTCTCAGTAACAGCACATCCGGACACTTGGTCAGGAGAGTTACAAGGGTGCGGCCTCCGTGCTGCCCCCTCCCCGCCTCCCCCAGCAGAGCGCTGCACACCGGGCTGGCCTGGCCCTAGGGCCCAGCGCCTCAGTAACACAGGCTAGGAGTACTTGAGCTCAGAAACGAATCAGAGGGCATCCCTGCGAGCGTCCCCCAGGGTCTGTGGACTCCTGGAGCTGCTGTGAGAACCTGGGGGAGTCCCGGGGTGCTGCAGTGCAGGGTTCTGAATTAGGGCCATGGACTTGAGTCTTTAGGGGATTTGCAGAGTCCAGAAAAGCCTTTTCCAGACACAGGGGATGGAAAGAAGAGATGCTTGCTTTGAAGCAGCCCGGAGCCTGAGTTCAGCAGGTCAGCATGGCGGCGCCAGCGTGGAGCAGGTGCATCTGCCTTCCCAGGACGTGAGCGGCTCAGGGCATGTGCTGCGTCAGGACCAGCGTTCACACTGCAGGCGCACCTGTCCTGACCCTGAGAGGACACTGCCAGGAGCCAGAGCCCCAGGGAGTCCGTCCACACCCTCTGTGCTTTGGGATGCAAGGTCCGGCTCTCCTAGCGGATGGGCATCCAGAGAGAGGCAGGGTCCCCTGGCCCGTGTCGTTCGAAGGCTGCCACCTGCATAGCACACACGTGTCAAGCCCCCGAGGACGCCTCCTTGCAGGCAGCACTGCTGATGGCGTCGGAAGACGGCCACGCCAGCCGCTGGAGCACGGTGCGCCTCCCCCAGAGCCAGGGTCAGCACTGCACGTGGGCCAGACGGAAATCCTGCAACATAAATGCTCGCTTGGATCCAAAAGGAAACCATACAAATAAAGAGATGAACAACTCTAATGTTTTGGGGGAAATCAAATAAAATCTTGCTGTAAAGAATCATCTTGTTTCTTGGCTCCTGCACTAGAAAGGGAGACCCCCCCCCCCCAAAGTGAGGCAGCTGGGGCTGGGCTGATGGGCACAGGCGCCACTGGCCCTGAAGGGGTCAAGACGCTAGCGACAGCTGCAGCCCACATCAGTGCCTGGGTCCCTGTCCCAGTGCCACTGTCAATCCCAGCTCGCAGCTAATGCTCTCTGGGGCAGCAGCAGACGATGGCCCAGGTACCTGGGTCCCTGCTGCCCGTGTGGGGGACCTGTTCCGGCCGTGCAGACAGCCTGAGTGTGAGGCCCTCCGGAAGGCCCCCACGTCCCTCAGGGGGCCACGTGCCTCAGGGCATCATCCGGCCCAGGCCCGCTGCACCTCTGCACAGAGCAGACGCACGGCTTCATCTGCTCAGCAGCCTGGGGCCCAGACTCCTGTGCGTGAAGCTCCCAGACAGGAGGACCCAGGAGGCCCAGGGCTCCCGGGGGGCGGGCAGTCACCAGCCCCCAGAGGCACCCCAGCAACCCCGACCCAGAACAGGAGAGAGCCGCCCCCAGAGGCACCTCGGGAGGTCCCCTGACCCAGACGCCCAGAACAGGAGAGAGCCGCCCCCAGAGGCACCTCGGGAGGTCCCCTGACCCAGACACCCAGAATAGGAGAGAGCCGCCCCCAGAGGCACCCCAGCGACCCTGACCCAGAACAGGAGAGAACTGCCCCCAGAGGCACCCCGGGAGGTCCCCTTGTCTACACGGGCCCTAGGCTGGGGGGAAGAAGGCTCCCCTGTGAGGACTCACCCACCTCAGCGCCTGCCCGGACCAGGGGGCTCAGGGATGGGCGGGGCTGCGTGGCTGTAAGAACCGTGGCAGGGCCGTGGACACAGGGCTACGCACTCTGGCTGGGAGTAAGGACAGGACCCAGGCTCGATTCCTCTGCCACCAGCTGATGCGCTCGTCCAGGACAGGGTACCGCGTGGCTCGGGGTGGGCAGGGAGTGGGCGCACCACACACAAGCAGCTGCTCCACACTGCACCCTGCACTGGGAGAGCCGGGCACACCTCCCACTGTGTGAGTCACGGGGACCCCAGCCACGGTAGCCTCTTGCTGTCCCCACTCACTGTGGACTTGGGAGGACGAGATCAGCCTTACAGGACTGTCCCTGGGCTGAGATCACGCTCGAGACCTGAGCCACTTCCCAGCCACGCCCCGAACCCAGGGCGCCTGGGTCCCCGGGCGTTGGCCTGGAGCAGGGTGACGTGGCCCGACTCTGGCTAGGAGGGTCAGCAGGGGAGGACACGGCTGGGCTGCCCTGGTGGAGGTCAGCGTCTGTGTGAGAGGCCCGAGAAAACGAACGTTTCTTCAGAGGGAACCTGACAGCCGCAGCGGCAGCCCAGGGCCCTGCCTGGTGGCCTGACCTGGCCGCAGCCTCCCCCTCGCACTCAGTACGCAGGCCGCCCCGGGCACCGCGTGTGGGCACCGGGGCCCTGCCTGGTGACCTGACCTGGCCGCGGCCTCCCCCTCGCGCTCAGCACGCAGGCCGCTCCGGGCACCACGTGTGGGCACCGCGTGTGGGCACCGCGTGTGGGCACCGGGGCCCTGCCTGGTGGCCTGACCTGGCCGCGGCCTCCCCCTCGCGCTCAGCACGCAGGCCGCCCCGGGCACCGCGTGTGGGCACCGCGTGTGGGCACCGGGGCCCTGCCTGGTGGCCTGACCTGGCCGCGGCCTCCCCCTCGCGCTCAGCACGCAGGCCGCTCCGGGCACCACGTGTGGGCACCGCGTGTGGGCACCGGGGCCCTGCAGTCCGCTCTGTCCTCCTCCTAGAGAGCACCGTCTACGTGAGAGTTTGACGAGGAGGAGCTGAGACGGCACGTGCGTCACGTGGGGACCAGGGCCACTCTGCTCCCGTGTGCCAGCTGCTGAAGACGTGCAGTAGGCACCAGACACGCAGGGCATCAGGCAGGGCCCAAGATGGCCGCTGCGTCCACGCCGCGAGGAGCAGACCAAGGGGCAGCTCTGCAGGACAGAAGGCCTCGCAGGGGCAACGGCGTGGACCCGCCCACGCTGCTTTGTGCTCGGAGACTCAGAGCCCAGCCGCCTTCAGCACGTGTATTCCATGGGACTCGCTTCTTCCAGAACATGGGTGTCCACGCGTGTGCAGAGCGGCCCGGCTGCCCCTCCACCTGCCATGCAAGATCCGCATCCAACTACTCACTGCCACCCCTCCCCCACATCCCGCAAGGCCCTGAGTGGGGCTGGGGACACCTCCCAGGCCCACGTTCCCTCCACAGTGCCAAGAAGTCAGTCAGATGCAGATGGGCGCCCACCCATCCGAACGCTGACACGCACTGCCAAGAGTCTGTGTGCCGCCATCACAGGTGGAGCCCTGCCCCCGCCAGGACCACACAGGGAGGGACCGCAGCCTGGGGACAGGGCCTGTCCCGAGACACCACTGCGCAGGGGAGCAGCCGGTCAGATGCCTGCTCCTCCTGCTGGGAGGCGGGAAGCAGCAGAGGGCACGTGTGTGCCCACGCACAGGAGCCAATCCCATTCGGGGGTCACCCCAAGGCCACTCATCGGGACCAAGTCTCAGCATGCGTTTTGGAGGGGACATGATGGTCCCAACCACAGTTACAGCCCCCGAGGACGGGCCAGCGTGGTACCGACTCCACACAGGCGATACAAGCAGTGACGGAGCAAGGACAGAAGCCTTCGGTGAGGGGCCGCCTGCAGGGCCAGCGTCCTGCGTCAGCGCCGGTTCAAGTCCCGGCTGCTCCACTTCTGATCCAGCTCTCTGCTGTGGCCTGGGAAAGCAGTGGAAGATGGCCAAGTCCTTGGGCCCCTCACCCATGTGGGAGAAATGAGGAAGAACTCCTGCCTCCTGGCTTAGGATCGGCCCAGATCCGGCTGTTGCAGCCACTCAGGGAGTGAACCAGCGGATGGAAGACCTCTCTCACTCTCTTTCCATCTCTGCCTTTCAAATAAATAAATTAATTAAAAAAAAAAAAACCCTTAAACGCATCTTGACCTCTGACCTACATAACAAGCAGGCCCCTATTTCCCCGCCCTGCTAACCCGGCCCCACCCTGCCTTGATCAGCCCCGCCCTGCCTGGACTGCTGGACACACCACTATCTGGAGAGTCCAGCCTCAGCCAGAGCTCACCCCACTGCCCCGGGCTCTCTCCCCCAGCTCGGCGGCTCAGCGCAGTCCAGCCTCAGCCAGAGCTCACCCCACTGCCCCCGGCTCTCTCCCCCAGCTCGGCAGCTCAGCGCAGCCCAGCCTCAGCCAGAGCTCACCCCACTGCCCCCGGCTCTCTCCCCCAGCTCGGCGGCTCAGCGCAGCCCAGCCTCAGCCCAGACCCCTCACAGCTCACACTGATCTCGCAGGGCCTTCAGATCCAGCCCAGGCTCTGCCTCTATCGCGGCAGCTCAGCTTTAGCTCAGACCCCCCCGACCCCCAACCCCTCCCACCACTTTGCACTGCTTAAACCAGCCGTCTGTAAGGGAGGGACTCGCTCTCTGCCATGAGTTCACCTGGGAGTGAACCCCTCCCGGGCTGTTCTTCTGAATACACCTGGTCTGGCCGCGGCTTCATGCCCTGTCTCTCCCTTTTGGACAGCGGAGGGCCACCACACCAGAGAGCAGGCCCGGCACTGTCCTCTGAGCCACCATCTGCAGCCGCCTGACCGCCCCCCAGCACACCTCCTGCAGACGGTGCCAGGCATGACCCAGGTGGGGCGTGGTCTTCTCCAGCGAAGCACTGTGGTTCCCACCCCACAGCTCCACGCTCTGCCCGCGAGGACCTCCGCACAGCTGCTGCCAGGGCTTCTCACCACGTGCACGCGGCCGTGCCCCCTCCCCACAGCCAGCCGCCACCCTGTTCACTGCAGCCCTCAGGGAGGACGTGGGCCCAAGGCTGGTCACCCGCTGTGAGTCTCCAGGGACGGGAGGAGCAGCGCCTACACCGTGGTCACCCCAAAAACATGACCACACCTGGTCACTGTCCTGATCCGTTCACGAGAGTGGCCATGCAGTCCCACACCTCCTGCAAGGAGCTGGCTGCCAGCACAGCGCGCAGGACGCGTGGACCTCTGGCGCCAGCATGGTGGCCTCGCACTTGTGACCCATGGGACCCTGCACAGCGGCCTCACCACCGCCCCCACTGGTGACCCTGGGAAAACTAACGCAAGGGGCTGATGGCACTGACTGCTCTCAGCTCCCACGGCTCTGAGGACGATGGAGAAACTGTGAAGTATTTAGAGTAAACGCACACACAGTAAAAGGACAGCCACGGACACCCACACAAACGGACCCACAGCAAACCGGAATGGCCACGTGGGCCGGTGTCAGAACTGTGACAACAGGCGGCTGTGACGGTGTAGAGGCGCTACCCCGTGTGCACTGGCGGCTGAGCAGAGGGACCTGAGCTGGGGGAAGGGCGGCCCCTGCACGGCAGCAGACACGACACCTGGCCAAGAAGTGAACCTCAGTCCACGCCACAAGCAAATGGGCCTAAGGGGCACTTCTAGAACATTCTAGCAGCAGCACACAGAACCTCCTGCAGCGTAGAACAAGTCTCAGCAATGCAGACACGCCCAGCGTGCGCCACGAGGCTTCTCTAACCACAGGACAGACCCACGGCCCAACGCCCAGCCAGTCCCACAAGGGGAGGCTGCACGACAGGGACACACAGCACGCCAAGACCTCTGGGGTACAGCCAAGGCGGCACGAGAGGGAGCCTTTGACGACAAACTCCTACAGTGCGCCACCAGGGCCAGAAAAGAACCCAAAATTATTAGGCAGAGAGAAACAACACAGAGCAGAAACAGGAGAGACAAAAAACAAGTCAGCAGAGCCGGTCAGCATGGGTGGCTGCACTGGCTGCGAGGAAAGAGAAGTTCCAACCACAGGAAGTTGGAGCAGAGAGAGGAATACCGCACCACACCTCACAAAGGAGCAGGACTCAGCGACACCCGAACGTTGGGGAGCCTGGAGGAAGTGGACACATCTCTGGACACACGTA